GGGGGGGGGGGGGGGCCGGCTGCTGCACTTGCAGACCGGTCATGGCAAGGGTTCCTCCTTGTCTGCTCATCAATCCGCTCCCCGCTGGCGCGTCTCCCGTCATGCCTATCCCTGCCCCTCCGCTCCTGGAGAAATGGAAGGACGACGGAAGACGGAAAAGAAGCCCTTGCCCGCCTCTTGCCGCCGCCCTAATCCGCACTTCCCACCTGCCTGTTTGCTTGTCCGCCCAGACTCTGGATCCAATAGCCCAAAAGCAATGGAATCAATCACACGAGCTGCGCCGTACCGGAATTCACCGATCATGAGATGAGACAGAAGTGCAGCAAAATAAAAAACAAAAAAGGCCCCCCTTCCCAAATCCGCCCCTAATCACCACCTACGTAGTTTCAGCCCTATCAACAACCACAAACAAGCACGCTCCGCCATCTCCATCCCAAAGCATCTCCCCCTGCATCACTGCTCACAACTTACGGACGAGACTCCGGCCGCGTGGTTTCGGAGAAATTACCGCTCGATCGCTTCGGCTCGTTTCAGGCTCGCCCAGACCTCCTACCTAATCGCGGCCGGTCTGTGCGTAAGTGCGAATCACTTTTCGAGATCAGGATCTGATCTGATTTTGAATTTGGCTTTTTATTTTTGTATTGGGAGTTGCTGTTTTTGGCCCCGACATGAGTCGCTACTGTGGCCAGGTGGCTCGGGCGAGATTCGGGTAGATGGGTCTGTGAGTGGGCGGTGAGAGGGTTTGGGAGGGGTTACGGGCGGAGAAATGAGGCGGTGTGCGTGGCGGCATTGAGGTTTAGATTGCCAATGGTCCCGTTGATGATTGTTACTGCCACATTGGATGGTGAGGGATAGAGAAAAGAAGAGATGGGATTATGCATGTGTTGTGAGTGGTTCGCCGTGCCTGATTACGGAAGAACGCCTGACGCCTGCTCGCCTACCCGCGTTGAGAGATGGAGACGATTGCACGCCTGAAACTCCGGGACCGATGCGGGGAATGGACAGAAACAAAAGGCCCAAAGGAAAGTGCCGAGCTCTTTACATCGTTGGACTTGGGTCCTCGTGGCCCGTGACTCGATCCTGTTTGTTTGGTATTGCGTAGCTCATTTTCAATTGATTTGCCCTTATGCCTACCTACCTGAGCTACGGTTCGAGACGGTTGTGCGCTCAAGAAGATGCCGACGTCGCAGCGGTGACACTGCCACCGGCCTCAGCAGCTGGGTTGGCGGCTTCCTCGGCCGGGCGAATGGGAGGGCTTGAGAGATTCGAGCTCAGAGCAGGGGCCTGCGTGATGGGACTGGTGGGGTTGAGGCCATGAAGCTGGCGTTCTGGGACAGCGTTCTTGTCAGCGGTGTGTCTCGAACAAAACTAAAGGGGGCTAGCGCCTCGTACCTAGCTCACGGATGCGCATCTTCAGCATCTGGTTCTCCCGCGTTAACATCTGCGTCTCAGCCTGGTAGAAGGCGCTCTCGTCTCTGTTGACTCCGCCTCCAAGGGACCAATCCCCGCTCTCACTACGCTGACTGGAAACGGGGCGCAAGGCCGGGCTGCCATTGCGACTGCTGGTGCGCGACTGCCTGTAGCTGCTGTTGCGCGACAGGCTGGCGGGCGCCTGACCAGGGATGGGGCGCGGGCTGAGCGAGCGCGGAGGGGCAATGGACAAGTTCACGTTGGTCTGGGAAGCGGCAGCGGAGGTTGAGAGGGACAAGGAACGCTCCGACGTGGGGGTGGTGGAGTCGTCAATGGCGCTGCCGGAGGGGTGTTGAGACTGCAACGTGGCGATCTGGGCTTGCTGGGCGCGGATCTGGCCGAGCAGGCGGTTCTGTGGGTTGTTAGTCGGTACTCGATTGTGGATGCATCATGACATACGACTTGAGCCTCTTGCTCCTCTTCTAGTTCCTGGGCCAGCGGCAGCGAGGGATTGCGCTGGTGCTGGGGGCTGGCGGACCATGAGGGGCGGTGCGAGTGCAGCGAAGGGCTGCGCTGGACTTCGCCAGGACTGGGGATGGTGGGATCCATGCGGTTCAGGTTTACACGCAAGCTGGAGCGTCTGCGCTCACGGTGGACAGGGTTGGCTTCGTGCTGGATGCCGGCGTTGAGGGCGGCGGCGGCGGCCAGCGAGTGGGGGGCCGCGTGCGGCTGCTGCTGGGCGGTGTCGTGGGCGGTCATGGCTTTAGTTGGTAGTAAGTGCGTAACTACTGACTGGCGACGTCGGGCACTATTGCAGGGGCTTTTTGTATCCGTGGGGAGCACCTACCCAGTCGGTCTCCCCACGCCGGATCGGCCACATGATCCGCGCGATAGCCGTTGGCTCCGTTGGGTGGAGTGATTAGTTATAGTCGGTCACACAGCACTTTATTGTATGTAGGTAGGTATCGGAGGAGCCGGACGGAGCGGGCGAGCCCATGTCCCTCCCGTAGGTCCTTTTACTACTCTTATCTCATTCTCACCTCCTCCTTCTTCCGTTGTTTCTTGTTGGCTTGTTCCATGCATGACTAGACCTCGCTTCCGCCCTTTCGGCCGCTAGACTCGCTCGTCCTGTTAGGCCTGCCGCCCCGACGCCTGAAACGCCGTGTTTGAACTCCTGGGCCCGTTTCAAGCCGCCTCAACAACGGGCCGCACGCTGTTCACGTCCTCTACCACCGCCCTCGTCAATCGTCCTCGCAATCCCTGTCCGCCCTCTGGCTTATCCTTTCTACTAATGGCCGCCCGCCGCTGCCTGAGCGACCCGCTCTGAGCTGTCCCGACGTCGACTTTTCCCTCCCTCGCCCTCTTGTGCCACCGTCCAAGTCCCAGGGCCGCGGCGACGTGCATGCTGCTGGCCATGCCCCAAGACGAGAATGCCTCGACGCCCGGCCTCCGGCACAACCTCAAAAACCTGCCACCCATCCACACGGCTGTCGACCATGCCCCGCAGCCGTCGCGCTGGAGACGCTCGCGCTTCGTGGCACCTGCGCCCGAGCACAAAGCCTCCCCTGCCCCCAGTAAGCTGGAGAACCGCAAGTCGGCCATGTCTCTGTTCAATCTTTTCAGCAGGCCCAAGGTCGAAAAGGCCCGCGGCCACCACGAGGCCGGCCTCCCCACAATCCACGACGTCCCGGGCCCGGGGCAGTCGGAGCCGACGACCGCGCTGAGCTCCGTCACTGCCACCGCTCCTCCCAAGGCAATGAGCACGAGAACCGCCACCTCTAGATCCCACAGGACGTCCTTCAGCCGGAGGTCCAGGACTTTCTCCAACACCTCTCCCACCGATTGGGATCCTCCCGCGCTGTTCCAGGCCTACTCGCAAGCGATCAAGCATGCCACCCTGCAAGCTACCAATGTCTCAGTCGAAGCCATCATTAAGATGCGGAACCACCGGCGACAGTACAACTTGTTGCAGGAAAAATTGGAGAGCAAGCTGGACCTGTCTGGAGCCGTAGCCGAGGACGATTCCGATGCCGAAGCGAAAAAGCGCGACCGGAGGGAAAAGAGAGCGTCCTTCAGCTCGATGATGGGTGGGCCGGATCTGACGGAGAAGATTTACGTGCTGGCCACGTCGGGCTATCTTCTCCAATACTCCGGTGAAGGGCCCTCGGAAAGACTTCCTGAGAGAGTATTACATTTGGGCAAAGACTCGGCTGCGTTCGTGTGTGACCTGATTCCTGGAAAGCACTGGGTTCTGCAAATCTCCCAAGCAACCAACGACGATGGCACCATGACCACGCAGCAGCCACCAAAGTCCTTTCTTTCTAGGTTGCGCATGCAAGGTCCCGCTGTCAAAAAGGTCGCTACGAGCATGCTGCTCGTGTTTGAGAATCCGACGGAAATGGGCGAATGGTTGGCAGCGCTCCGGTTGGAAATTGATATCCTGGCTGGGAGGAAGTCGAGGATTGATGCCGAACGGGAGGTCCAGGAAGCCGCAAACAAGCGTATGAGCAGGATATCTAACCATAGGTATCAAATGCAGCGGGACGCTAGCCATGTGGATCGTTCTTCAATCAGCACGCCAGTGGGCTCTCCTATCCCAGATGGTCCGGAGTGGCCGGTAGTGAGTGGTAAGCTGCCTCGAAAGACGTCGGATGCCACTACATCTTCCAAATTCGCTTCCAGAGGCCAATCCATGGAGGCTCCGTCAATGGCCACAACGGCAAATTCGTACGTTGGAACCCAACTGGACCAATTGAGAGAGAGTTCCAGACTCTCGGTCATGTCGAGTCGGACAGCTGGCACATCTCCTGGCTCTTCCATCTATCCTCCATCTCCGTCAAAAGATACCTACACCGATGAGGAAGGCCGGCACAGCCCAATCGCGCTGAGGTCTTCCTCCATGAGCCCCTCTGGATCATCTCGCAGGAGGTCGATGCCCGTACAGCAACTCCCTCCTACCAGTGAGAGTCGCGCTTCGACTGATTCGACGCCCCGTGAGCAGCACCATTCGACCATCGCAGGTACATCGCCAGCAGCGCAGCACCAGCAAATACCGGTTTCCATCCCCGCACCCGCTCTTAACAACCATATGTCCTTCTCTCGCCCATTCAGCTCCAACAACCAATCGTTCCACACGCCACCTGGAATCCGATCTTTCAGTGCGCCAGCAATAAAATCCTCGCCTCTTCATGCCGGGCCCCAGCCTCCACTGCCCTCTCAGGAGTCTCTCGAATCTTCTTCCCATTTCTCTTTCACGCTCAGCGCCTTCCCCCACCCGAACCGCCAAAACCCCACCGCAAACCCCGGTTTCCGCCCTGTTCCCATCAGGTCCAATCCTACTCCGGGTATCCCACCGCGCCGCGTCCCTTCCTTTGGTCCTATGCTGCCAATCAACCCGACTCCGCCATTGCCCAGGCCCTCACCTCAGCCGCAATCGCAGCAACCGCCCATATTTAGCACTGGAACCGGACAACTTCAACCACCACAAGGACCACTGCCACAACTTCGCAGGCCGCCTAGTATGCAAATCCGCAGGGATCCTGCCGCATTTCTGTCTACGCGCCGTCCCATGGGCGTGTCATCCCAAGTTCGGTCGCGTTCGCGTTCTCCTTCTGGCACCGGTACCGCAGGCGCTCCTACTCTTGGAGCGTTGTCATTTGCTCAGTCTGCGCCGGCGAGTCGACGGCCTTCGGCTGCAGAAGTGCAGCCGGGCCCGTTGGCTAGCGGTCATAGACAAACTGTCAGAACTAGGCAGTCGATGCCTGTTATAGGTTTGCCGCCGCCAGCACCACCGCCAAGCATGCCACTTCCAGCACCGCCACCTAACACGCCCTTGCCTCCCCTACCAATCGAAGCGAACGAGAAGCCGGCTTCGATTGTGTAGGCGGACGCCTTCGCTCACGATCCTTGTCTTGCATCATTGCCTCAAGTCGATGTCTTTTTCGTCGTGTAGCGTTCGCACTGTTAATGGTAATGGCAAATAACACCCAGTCACGTTGACGGCTGGGGCTTTCTTCATTTCTCTGTTGTCGAATCCAATACTCTACGCTGGAAGGCGACTGGATCAGTCGTTGGTTCCGCCACTGCCGTTTCGGACCGGTACATTTTATTCCTCGTATTGTTTATTGTGTCATGTCTGTTGTTTTGTATGCGTCATCTGTCTTTTCTGAGATATCCCTGTGTCCTGTCTACGGCGTTGTTTTGGTTGGGGAAGCTTGGAGATTGATTATACCTCTGTCGATATTGATCGGCCAAATAACTGTATGATTAGTTTTGGGGTGATTGGGAGGCCGAAAAACTCGAATTTACATTGCAATGTCGTCGAAACAGCCAGTGGGGCGTGATTGGAGGGGTGGCGCACGATGACGATTGATCGCCGGCAGGAGCTGTGACACTTCGTAGAGAAAGGAGAGAGGGCGGCAGGTAGGGTGACGTGGTACGATGGCAGCAGACGTGGATGTCTGAGAAGTATTTGGCAGGGAGACGTGACGGGCTCTAGGTGGCTTGCACTTAAAGTAGTGCTTTTTGCGCCTCTCATGATTCTCAGATGAACGCGCGGGATGATATCACCCTTATCGGACCGCACGTGATGGCTAGTAGATCCGTAGATAAACAGCTACTATTCGGCCAGGCCCTCGCCCACTGCACGAGCGACGGCGACGATGCTGCGCGGAAGACCATGGCCTGCCGCCGCACGAGAAGCTTGCGGCGGTCGCATTCGACGCATTGCCTACCCTATTGCGCCACTACCCGTCCGGCGTCACCTCCAGACCAAGACTGTTACCGACGATGACATAGCCCGCCTAGCGGCCACTCCCCTGCACCCGCTGACCCTCGCCGACCTCGTCAAGTATGCTCCCACCTTTGCCGCAGCTTCTCCAGCTTCAATCTGACCGATCGCCCTAGGCATGGCCGTCCACCCCTGTCCGCGCGCCAGCTGTTCGACTCGGCCAACTTCACCCTCTCCATCCTCCCTTCGCGCCTCGCCCACCGTATCCAATCCCTCCGAAACCTTCCTTATATCGTAGTGTCGAATCCGCACATCTCGCAGATCCACAGCAACTATGTCCACTCCCTGTCCACTCTGCTACCATGGGCTGAAAAGAGGATTGAGACGCTCGAGGACGAAATTCACTTCACCGAAGCAATGGCCGACCTCGTGCAGACCCATTCCAACACCATAAGCATACTCGCCAGAGGGTTTCTCGAGGGAAGGAGATACATCAGCCCGCAAGAAGTGACTCGCTTCCTCGACGAGCACCTGCGCGCCCGCATTGGCACCCGTCTCATCGCCGAACAGCACATCACGCTCCATATGTCCTCGCAACCGCACAACGAGCTATCCGATGACCCCGAAACCTCGGCCAAGCGTGTCGCGCGCTCCTCATACATCGGTGTCATTGACACTGAATTGCGCCCAGCGGACGTCATACGGCGCTGCGAGGGCATGGTTGGGGAAATTTGCGAGTTCAAGTACGGTGTCCGGCCCAGACTGATCATCAATGGCGAGCCGAACTACAAATTCGCCCACATTCCCATGCATCTCGAGTATATTATCACGGAGCTGTTGAAGAATGCCTTCCGCGCCACCCTCGAGCGCGGGATGGAGAGAGAGCCCATCGAGGTCACTATCGCGCCTTTGCCAGAAGATCCAGAATTGGAGACATCTGGAGGTAGTACTCCTGTCAGCAACAGCTCGTCAGGGTCCGAGCGTCGATCTTCAATCACAAACGAGGCACAAGGCAATGCTAACCGGGCATCCAAGACGGACGCCATGCTGGAAAAAGAACAGCAATCGTCTGCCATTCGCGCGGCTACGGCTCAAATACGCCCTCTCAAGGAGAGAACACCTGGTGTGACGATTCGTATTCGTGACCGCGGCGGCGGAATTCCTCCGAACAACTATTCCCGCATCTGGGAGTACAGCTTCACGACATTCAACGATGACGACGTGCGCACCATTGGCCAAGGAAGCGACATGCACGGTATGGATGCATTGAGTGTCATCAGTGCAGGTGCAGGTGAAAATGGTAGTTCGCTGGCCGGCCTTGGTTATGGCCTGCCGCTAGGCAGAGCTTACGCTGAATATTTTGGTGGCGGAATAGCAGTGCAAAGCCTATGGGGCTGGGGGACAGATGTGTATCTGAGCCTGAGAGGGGTCGGTAACGTTGGACAAAGCCAAAGAGGTGGGCGGTGACAATCGATCACTGAGTTTTGATATTCTATCCAAAAAGGCGGATGCTCTGCTCAGTTCGAATTTAAAGCGGAGAGAAAGTTCTTAAGGCGTCCAAGCTGGACCGCACAGGACTATCACAGTCTGGGAATTTCTAGAATCTATAGAAGGGGCGTTTGTTCAAGTTTCGGGCACTGGGGGAGGCAGTTCGGGAGTTCTTGACTTGGTCTACCCGACAGGACAGCAAACCGCAAGGCTCTCCAAATTTTTACAGAATGTCCGGATGCCATCGATTAGTATAAGAGGAGGGAGTAGTCGGAGAGCGGAGTGCTCAAACCTTTCGTAAGTGGAGCACTACATCACAGTCTATTGTAACGAAAATGTATGATTTTACGACAACGCTTTCCCAGTGAAGAGGACTCGGGCTCTCAAACACACGAGTCTTCGATGACGGTCTTATCTCCAGCAGAACAGAAGCAAATCCCATCCAGCCACGTTAAACCCCCGGCTCGAGCCAAGGGCGCCAGGGCGTGGTGGTCTCGACACCCGCAACGCAAGGGGTTGGCAAGGGCTCGTAATGAACCACGCTGCCGGTCTCCGTTCTCGAGGGGAGCCAAGTTTCACGCCAATAACGTGCGCGCAATCCCATGTCTCCCGATATCTCAGGTGGTCGGGAGGGGAGGTTTGTCGTAAGGAGGGTCATACGGGGCTTCTCAGGGCGAGACGGGTCTTTCGTACGCTGCCACTGCAGGATACATGTCTTTCCTGGGTTTCTCTCCCGTTCTCCGTTTCTCATATCAGATATCCACCTCTGCTTGTTTCTCTGGCTTGGCCTCGGCAGAGTTTCCGCCGCCATGGCACTATTTCAAAATTTCTCGCGCAGAGGCGCATGTGCTCCTAAAAAAGAAGACTCGGAGGCCGGCGAACAGATGGACATGACAATCTTCGCAGCAGAAGACAACAACAACAACGACGACGACGACGACGACGCCTCCAGTACCAACGGCAGCAGAAACGCAAGCAACAGCAACTGGCCCGAGAGCTACACCAGCCCACGCTGCAGCGAGTCCATCTCGCGCTGCCCGTCGGGCTCGGCCGTCGACCTCATCGAGCCCCAAATGCCGCCCAGCCCCAGCCACAGGAACGACAGCGGCGGCGGCGACAGCAGCAGCAGCCCGCTGCGCGTGCCCCGTCCGCGCAGCGCCGTCGTTGCTGCCGACGACAAGGCGCTCAACATGCGCGTGCGCTACCTGGCGCAGCGCTACTCGACCATCTCGCCGCTCGGCGACGACGGCCAGAACCCCTTCTCCGCCGCGCCGCACCCGCTCATCGACCCGCGCTCGCCGCTGTTCCAGGCCCGGGCGTGGGCCAAGGCGCTGGTGAATCTGCGGGCCGAGGAGGCGGACCTGCTGCCCGAGCGCACGGCGGGCGTGGGGTTTGGGAAGCTGGAGGTTTGTGCGAGCGGCGGTGGGAGCGGGGGATGCGTGGGGCGGCTGCTGCTGCTGCGCGGGGCTGTGGGTGCTGCGCGCCGCCGCGAGAAGACTGTCTTGCAGGGCTTCGACGGCGTCGTCGAGAGTGGCGAGTTGTTGCTTGTCTTGGGCCCTCCGGGAGCGGGATGCTCGACGCTGCTGAAGGCCATCGCAGGAGAGCTGCACGGCCTCCGGCTCGACCAGCAGTCTTACATCAACTACCAGGGTAGGTCGTTTCCCTCGTTCTTATTCTACTTGCACACACAAACACACACTGCAAGACACTAACCGCGCCGCGGCAGGCATCTGCGCCGACCAGATGCACGACGAGTTCCGCGGCCAGGCCATGTACACCAGCGGCGCGACGGAGGCGCACACGGCCGCCCTCAGCGTCGGCGACACGCTAGCATTTGCGGCGCGGACGCGGGCGCCGCGGCGACTGGTGGGCGGCGTGGCGCGCGAGCGCTGGGTGCAGCACATGCGGGACGTGGCCATGGCCATGTTCAGCGTCAGCGACTTTGCGGACGCGCGGGTCGACAGCGTGGGCGCGGCGGTGCGCCGGCGCGTCGGCATCGCCGAGGCAACGCTGAGCCGCGCCCCGCTGCAGTGCTGGGACGAGTGTACGCGGGGCTTGAGCGCGGCGGATGCGCTCGAGTTTTGTAGGAGCCTTAGGGTGCAGGCGGATCTGATGGGCGCGACGGCCTGCGTCTCGCTGTATCAGGCCAGTCAGGCAGCGTATGACGTCTTTGACAAAGTGACGCTGCTGTACGAGGGGCAGCAGATCTTCTTTGGGCGCGTTGACGAGGCCCGCGACTTCTTCGTCGCCATGGGCTTTGAGTGCGCGCCGCGCCAGTCGACGGCAGACTTCCTGACGGGGCTGACGAGCCCGGCCGAGAGGCGTGTGCGCCCGGGCTTCCAGTGCATCGTGCCGCGCACGCCGGACGACTTCGTGCGGGTGTGGCGAGCGAGCGAGGAATATCGGAGGCTTTTGCGTGATATCAAAGAGTACCACGGGAAGTATGCCATTGGCGGTGACCACCTGCATAGCTTTGCATTGTCGAAGAGAGCGCAGCAGGCGAGACTGACGTGAGGCTCTTCACTGTTTGCCGTTTGAGGCGATATAGCTGACGGCTTGTGTAGGCGTGCAAAGTCACCGTATACGCTTTCGTATGCGCAGCAGGTCTGGCTCTGTCTGTGGCGGTGCGCCAAATGCTCCAGAACAGACGCGAGACGAATCTCGATGCAAACATTTGGATACGCTGTCGTGAGTGTTATTCTCGGAAGCGTCTTTTACAACTTGCCACCTGGCACCGAGAGCTTCTACCAAAGGGGCGCGCTTCTTTTCTTTGCCATCTTGGCATGCGTGCTTAGCAGTTCCTTAGAGGTAGAGCAGATCATCGAGCAGCCGCGCGTGGGTTCTGACAACTTCGTAGATACAAGCAGTGTACGCACTGCGTCCCGTCGTCGAAAAGCACGCCCGCCACGCTCTGTACCACCCGTCTGCAGAAGCGCTCGCATCAACCATAGCGATTATGCCGCGGAGAGCTCTCGAAGTGCTCGTCTTCACTGTTCCCTTCTACTTCATGGCAAACCTCCGCCGCGAACCCGGCGCCTTTCTCTTTTTGCTTCTGATATCGTTCTTCCTTTCCCTGACACTGGCGTTGCTCTTCCGCTCCGTTGCTTCAATCTCACGAACGCCATCCCAGGCCACTGTGCTGGCTATTCTGCTTGCCCTGTCTATGATCATCTTCTCCGGGCTACCGCTCCCGGTACCGCATATGCGCGGGTGGATCCGTTGGACCAACTACCTGGACCCAGTGGCATATGCGTTTGAGGCGTTGATGGTGAACGAGTTTGACGGTAAGAAGTTTGCTTGTGAAGCCTTTGTTCCGGATTATCCGGACGCAAAGGGCGACAATCGCGTTTGCTTAGCTGTCGGGGCTGTGGAAGGGGCGGATACTGTGAAAGGGGATGCGTTTGTCAAGGCCGCTTTCCAGTACTTTCCTGCGCATCAATGGAGGTAAGGAACCCCTACACTGAGATCGCACGTAACATGGCGTGTCACTGACAAGCCATCAGTTGTTTTTATATCCTTGTCGGTTACGCTTTTTTCTTCTTGCTCGTCTACCTCCTCTCGACAGAGTTCGTCCGAGCCAAGAAGCCCAAAGGCGAAATCCTTGTTTTTCAGCGCGGTCATGCTCCTCATCCTGTCTCGGACGATATCGAGATTTCAGCTCTGCGGAGTCCGCAGAAAAGACGGGACTCGGCCACTGCTTCGGTTATACCTCAAACTCCGACGTTCCATTGGCAGGATCTCTGCTACAACATCAAGACGAAAAATGGGCAAAGAAGAGTCTTGGACGACGTTGACGGTTGGGTAAAGGCGGGGTCTCTGACGGCAATAATGGTACGAATAGCTCCCAAAATGTCTTCAACCAGCCACGTTTGCTGATCAAGTACCCCAGGGTGTTTCTGAAGCCGCCAAAACAGCACTGTTGGATTTCCTTGCCGACAGGGTCACTATAGGTGTTGTCAGTGGCGAAGTAATGATGGATGGGCTCCCGCGCAACAAGAACTTCCAGTATACAATGGGCTATGTCCAACAGCAAGACTTACACCCACCTACTTCGACTGTCAGAGAAGCGCTAAACTTTAGTGCACTGATGCGGCGACCGGCACATGTGCCGAAGAAAGAGAAGCTGGAGTATGTGTCAGAAGTCCTCAATCTTCTGGACATGGAAAACTATGCAGACGCCTTCATTGGCTTCCCTGGGGAAGGTGGGACGCGTCCTAACCCTATTCAAGTCCTTAATACTCACCACACCCTCCCAACAGGCCTCAACACCTCGCAGCGGCGCCGCCTAACCATCGCCATCGAGCTAGTCGCCAAACCCACCCTCCTCCTCGTCGACGACCCCACCTCCTCACTCGACGCCCAAACCGCCTGGACCATCTGCACCGCCCTCGAGCAGCTCTCCAACAGCGGCCAAGCCGTCCTCTGCGCCCTGCACCAAGCGCCCGCACCGCTGCTCTCGCGCTTCGACCGCCTGCTCCTCCTCGCCGCCGACGGCAAGCCCGTCTACTGCGGCGACACGGGGCCGGGCTGCGCAAGCGTCATCAAGTACTTTGAAGAGCGGGGCGCGTCGCCCTGCCCCGAGGCGGCGAACCCGGCCGAGTGGCTGCTGCAGGTCGCGTCCGCGTCCGTTCCTGGCGCAGGCGCAGGCGGCGCCCCGGACGCGGCGGGCTTCTGGCCCCAGGCGTGGAAGGATAGTGGCGAGGCGAGGGTGCTGCGCGAGGAGCTGCGCCGGCTTGGCGAGCTGCCGTTGCGCAGGTGCGTGCTTGATGTCGATGCGGCGGGGCAGGGGGTGGGGGAGCGGACCCGGCGCAGCGCCTTCGCGGCTCCGTTTTTGCTGCAGCTGCGGGAGGCGACGAAGCGGGCGTTGTTGCTGCGGTGGCGGGAGGGGCCGTATTTGCTCTCCCGTATGCTGCTCTCTGTGGTGGTTGCTGTCCTCATCGGCCTCGCTTTCTCCCCCGCAGCCACGCACCAAAACCACTCCACTTCCGCCGTCTTCGCTCTCCTCGCAGCCCTCACAGCCCTAGCAGCCCACCAGCACCACCACCTCATCCACTCTACGACAACACCCCACACCTCCCTTAGCATCTCGCTCCTCGCGCACGCCCTCGCCGAACTCCCCCCCACCGCCCTCCAAGCCGCCTCCCTCTTCGCCCCATTCCACTACCTCACCTCCAGCTCCGCCACCTCCACCACCTCCACCACCGCAGCAGCAGCGACATTCGCGCTGCTCCTCTCCGCGCTGCTGCTCGCTGCGGGCTTCAGCGCTACTGTTTTACGCATACGCACCCACGCGCACGCGCACGCTCTCCTGTGGCTAGCCTTCACACTCCTGCTGCTCAGCGGCGCAGCCCCCGCTCCTGCTCCTACATCCAGCGCGCTCCCCCGGCTCTGGCAAGCGCTGCAGCGCGCAAATCCGCTGGGGTGGGTGGCAATGGGGCTGTTCGCAGCGGCGGGTGCGGATGCGGGTGTGGATGTGAATGAGAGGGCGGCGTGGCAGGCGGTTGGCGTGGTGTGGGTGTTTGTGGGGGTGGGGGTTTGTGTTTGTGCCGTTTTGGGCACGGGGGTGTGGGGGAAGAGACGTAGGAGAGGGGGGATGGCGGGGTAGGATGGGGAGGGAGGGGAGTGGGCGTTGTGGTGCTTGTGCAGTGAAGAGGGTGTTAATGAGTGGTTCTTGGGTACACTTTATGTTTTCTATATATCAATACGATCGCTTTGGAAGGGGGCCAGTGAGGGGTGACTAGCTTTCGTGTAGTTCGAAGAATTCTATATAGTGTTTATTGTTTGGTACGCTTTTGGCGTTTATGGATATTATCGCGTGGTTCTTAGACAGTACGTAGCACTATGGCGCTGGGGCGCAGCGGGGAGAAGCTGGGCTGGTTCTTGTTTTAACCAAGTAAAACTATGCTGGGGTGTGGAGTTCCAGTAGCCTTTGGGCTTTAAAATACATATTCTGAAACCTTAACTATTTGCTTTGACCGTATTGTCAAGATCAGCATGAGGGTTTACGGCCCAGGAGGATCCTTATGGACTCCCCCGGGTAGAGCAACTAGTAGCTAGTAGTATCGAGGCGATTGTTCTTGAGCAATGCATGCTTAGCCATGGTGCTCTATTGGATTCGATGGTGGTTATCATCTTTATTTGAGACCGTCATCGCATAGCATTGCAGATTTGTGAACAAGATCATCAGCGAAACAGAAAAGAATATCCCGGAGGTCCGTCACTTCCCGGCAGAACTTCCTGGACAACTTCGTCACCTATGTTGAGTGTTCTTCTTGCGCTGAATGCCCCCGTGTTGGGCGTGCTCAGTGCGCTGGGCATCCTCGAAGGAATAGCCCATGTCATTTTCCGCTATGTCTGCCGTGGCGAAAGCGTCCATTTGGTAGACGGACATCTGCTCTAAGCAAGTAGTAACAATAACAAAGAAGCGCATCAGCCAGAGACAATGTGTGTGTTTGCATCTTCCTCGCAGGCCCAGACAAGCCGAGCAACAGCAATGAAAATGGGTTCGCGTCAGCCCGCAACAGTGCAATACGAGCGACACAGTGGCAGCGGTCACGGCAGCAAAAAGCCACCGCCGCCGCCGCCCGGGTCCAAAAACTAGTTAATCACGAAACGCACCTCCGTAGAGGGCTTCCAGCGATTAAACTGAAAAGAACAGATACTGCATTTAGATCTAAGCCAAGAGGCAAAGAGAACTGAAGAAAAGAAGAGGAGAGGGTTGGGGCGGGGCGGACGGGTTTATATACACTGGGGGTGGGGGACGTGCGCGCGCGATGAGGTCACTGTGGAAGGGCGTGGAAGCTTCTGGTGTGTTTGCTGGAGGAGCGTGGAGGGTCGTGGAAGCTTCTGGTAAGTTTGTTGTGGAAGAGCGTGGAAGGGGTGTGTGTGTTAAGGCGCGTCTGCTGACTGTGAAAGCCTGTCGGACCATGTTTCTTGTCTCCCAGATGACAAACGACAAACACGTTATGGGCGAGTGATCCTGAATCTGCTGAGTAAATATAAGAGCAGCTCTATCGCAAGTTCGAGGTCCTGAGTTCTGGAATGGACACTGAATGATATACCTTCCACCAAGCCTTCCATCTCTCCAGCATCGTTACGAAGATGCAGTAATACTACGCGCAAAGGCTCTTCTGTATTCTTTGGCTGACCTTATTAGTCTTCTATAGCCGATGCGATTTGTGCCAGGCTCGACTTGAGAAATTGATCTCACTCAAGTATACCAACTATTGACGATGAGTCCAACTCGATTATAATAATAATCCGCATCGCCAAAGTTTTATGGGATTCAGCTGCTATAGTTTCGCTCAAGAGATGTCGAACCGGCGACGATTGGCTGGAAATATAGGATTGGTAAAGCACCGGGAGGTACTAGTATTTGACTGTGCAGCCTGCACAGTGCAGCTAGGTATCCATGACAGTGGAACATGGTCATTCCGAAGACGATTGTAGCCTTGGCTACTCAGTCTATGGCTGTTGAGACCATAAAGGTATTCATAGCCTTGGTCCGGCTGGGTTGCTACCTTTGATATGAGATTCCTTGTGCCAGTGCGTAGGACTACTACTGTCGTCGAACTGATTGGCGTTCAATGTTAGCAGGCTTATGTATACCAAAACACCACTTTTAAACCATAAGTAACGTCCGTCACCGTCAACCGAGATCCACCGCCTAGCGAGATGGGGAAGGATATAAGGAGTTCCATGGAATACTTCTTATCTAGCTACATGTCTGAGACATGGATATAAGTAAGGAGATATTTGGGCGTATAAATACCTACACACATGTTGACTGAGTTTGTTTCTACTCCGTACACGCATTTATTTCGGTACGTGTTGATTCTCGCTTTACGGTGACGGACATTATTTGTAGGGTTGAATAAAAACAACTAACGCAGTGTAGCAAGGACTAAGGACCTTACCACGGCGAAAGCAATGAATTAGGATGCAAAATGAACCTGAACTCAAAAAAGACGTTGACTCCATCTCCAAGCCCGAAGGTTTAATAACGCTGCTAGCAGAACCATCACAAAAAATAATTACTAGACCCAAACACCACAACACCAACTCATTACCCCCACACCATCACGAATCATCGGCATGCCTATCCCTCGCCTCTCTAAAATGCGTCATCATATCCTCGGCCAACCTCCCCTCCGCGCCCTCCAAAATCGTCCCCACCAAGCTCAAATTATTAAACAAGAACCTCTCCCTCTTCCTCTGGTCCGCAATACTCTTACACCGCTTCGCCAAATAGGCCTCATACTCGCTCCGTAGGCGCGCCAAGCTATTCGAGACGGGTTCGTCATCCGCGGCCTCCGCGCTCAGCTTCAACACGCCATGCAAAAAGTTCGCAAACCGCTGCGTCAGCGCGACAGGGGCGGTGCTCTGGTCCGCAGGCGCCGCAGACGTGAGCAGTGACGAGGCGGCGGGCCGGCCGGGTAGGCTGCTCGTCAGTGCTTGCACCGACTTGCAGTGCGCGTCCATGACCAGCTGGAAGCGCGGCCATAGCAGCATGTTGGTCGCGTTGACGTAGCCCTCGACGGCCGGCACTTTGCGCCGCTGCAGCTCGAACGCAAAGTGCTGGTTCAGGCGCACGCAGAGTAGCACTCCCAGCGCGTCCATGGACGTGTCCGTCAGCGATTTGGTCAGTTGCTGGCCTAGTGCGAAGGTCGGCTCCCAGATTTGCGAGAATATGCGCGAGAGGGCGTGGTAGGATTGCGCAGGCGAGAAGTAGGATGTCAGGAACGTGTATTCGAAGGAGGCGTTGTCGATTAGGGCGAGGTTGAAGGTGTGGAAAGCCACTTCGAGGTAGTGCGTAGATTTGTTTTCCTCGACGACGTGCGAGGTGAGTGCGTTTTGGTGCTGGCCTTTGAGGAGGTCAAGGCGCCGGCCTATGGAAAATGCGTCGTGGGGCGCTGTTGGCATTTTAGGATTGCCGAGAAGAGCACCGCCACGTTTGGCAGCATTTTCGTTTCCAATGGTGTCGTGTTGGTCTATTACGTGTAGCTTGAGATTGTTCAGGGCCTGGTTGTAGCGCGTAAAGTGATTCAGGTAGTACCAGCGCATGGTGTTGATGTACGCTTGGCAGAGTTCATTGGCCAGTTTCTCTTGGTGCCTGGCGAGGAAGGCATAGAGTTCCTTGAATTTGAGGAATCCCTGTTGCTGTATGATTTGTGCATTGATGCTTGGCGATCGAAGCGCTTTTATCTGTGCAACAATGTAGTCTCTAACACGTTCAACAGCCTAGCATGGTCAGCTGCCAACAACCAAACGCGAACAAGTTAACTCACCTTCTTCGTTAGGTCTTCGAGCAGCGGTTTGAGATCGTTGACTGCTTTGACGTTCTTGTCGTCAGTTAACCTGGCATTCATAGTCTTTGAGCGTTTTTCGAGCTCTTGCAAGGCCTTGCAGAAACCCTCATCGATGGCGCCGTCGGCTATCTTTCTGACCACCGCAGGCGATATACTGGCTTCCTCTACCGCAGGGCCAAGGAGCTTTTCAACCACCTTGCGATTTTCAAGCCTGGTCGTCAACTGCGTAGACCTGGTCTGCAGGGTCTCTATCTCGGCAGATACAGCGCCAAGATCGGCTTGGAAACCGGTGAGATAGGTTTCGACAGACTTGAGCACTTCATCGCAGGCCTACAGCGTGGATCAGTCGAATTCACAAGAGTATGGAACCCGCGCACATGGAGCTTACCGTCACAGAGCGATGCAAATCCTCAAACTTGTCCTTTGCCCGGTCATCTGGAGTCACACGCATAAGCAAGGTGTCGGCATGGGCACGAGCAAACGCAAGAGAGACGTACATTCTTCGACTGACTCGGTGCTATATGTATGTACATGGGAAGGCTGCCACGACTGCTGCTCCCTGCCTGCCTCGGCAAATGCCTCGAGGCTCAGATTTCCGAAATCAATGTCCGTCACTATCTCCGCCGGCTTCTCCGCCGACTCCTCCGGGGCGTTTCGTTTAGGAGGGCCGTCGAAGAGAAGCTCCAGGACCTTGTTTGGATCGGGCACGTCAGGGGGCGGCGAGCCGCTGACCTGGAAGCGCAGGGCTGAGGCATTGGGGAGGCGGGCTTGAGGCGGCAGACTGGACGAGGATGAGGCGGGCGACGAGAGCAGGGTTATGGACGAGGAGCGGGGAGGGAAGCCGGGGCGGGGCGGCAGAGCTGGGCCGGAGGAGGGAGTCAGGTAGGGGCGTCTGGTGGGCGCAGGCGAGTAAGAGCGGGCATTTTGGGGCGGCGGGGTAGATTGGTGGAAGCGATCGAGCCACATTGTTGTTTGTCGCGCGTCGGGGGGGAGTGTCTCCCGTGTTCATCAGTGTCAAGTCAGTCATAGCTTCCCAGCTTCGGAACGCGCCAATCGCAGGCCGGCAAAACCGTTGTTCCACTAGCGTCGCCCGTGCCCGGTCTTTTCCCCTCGTCTTGAAGAGAGAAATCGCACAACCCATCCTTTCTTGCTCTCTCTCATCTCATCCCACCGCTCCACCCGCACTCTCCCGCCTGCCGCCTTCTCTTCCTTACGACCCGTCGCTTTCCCCGGAATCTCTAATCACAATGGCCGACGACGCCCAGGTACGTTGCTCCTGCCCACCCAACCCAACGCCATGCCTTGCCCCACCTTTTATCGATTGTTGTCGCGCGACGACGACGACGACTCGACGCCATTTTCACCACGACGCCTGCTAACTCCAAGCTCTCGCAGCATGAGCACACCTTCGACAGCGCCGATGCCGGTGCTTCGCTCACCTTCCCCATGCAGTGCTCTGCTCTGAGGAAGAACGGCTTCGTCGTCATCAAGAACCGCCCTTGCAAGATCGTCGAAATGTCCACCTCCAAGACCGGCAAGCACGGTCACGCCAAGGTCCACCTTGTCGCCATCGACATCTTCACCGGCAAGAAGCTCGAGGATCTCTGCCCCTCGACCCACAACATGGACGTCCCCAACGTCCGCCGTACCGAGTTCCAGCTCGTAAGTCACGGCCCCGCCAGCTCTCCGATGCGTACGCAGGAATTGACAGATCCCACAGCTCGACGTCACCGACGACGGTTTCCTTTCCCTCATGTCTGACGACGGCTCCCTCAAGGACGACGTCAAGCTCCCGGACGGTGAGGTTGGTGACAAGATCAACAAGCTCTTCACCGAGGACGGCAAGGACACCAGTAAGCTCCCCAGTAGTCCAGCGAGCCGCTATATCGACGCTAACGATGGTTTGCAGACGTCATTGTCCTTGCTTCCATGGGCGAGGAGGCCTGCATTGACGCCAAGGAGGCCCCCCGCGGTGCTTAGGTTAAACACGTGCATTCTTGGAAAGCATGCACCAGGGACCGGAACTGGGGAAAAAGCGATGTATGGACGTTGAGAAGCCATGATACCACTGCAATCCGACATCTGAATAGGAAACTGATTGCATGGCGACTGGCTTTCTAAGCAGCGCTTGCTCTTTTCATTTTAACTTGTTCGGTCTCTTCAAAGGCAGGGGTCGAACTGTGGAATTGGGTTTTGCGTGGAATCCACCGAGGCGTGGAGAAGCGCTGCTATATCAAGTTATGCCGCCTCCAAAATTTACGATGTGAACGGGAGATCTATTGAAGTTATATTTTTTGCCTGTGACGGTCTGAAAATCTTTGAAAACATTAGCGAGAGCCCTTGCCACAGCAACGACGGGTCCATGCTTCAAGCCGTGCAACGAAAAATCCCATCATGTCGGGTAGATTCCACAAAGGCGACCGCTGCGGCGTCGAGAACTGCCGCTCCAAGCGATACGTCGAGGGCAATGACGGGAACCGGTACTGCGAAAACGGTCATCAACATGCCGTATGTCCCATTCCTCACGCCCTTGCCAACGGCTAGCTGACTCTTGCAGGGCTCCACTCAACGTGCAGACGACGACGACGAGTGGAACACCAAGGGCCAGACCACGAAGCGCAAGGTAGAGAGACAAGAGAGGGTCTCGAGACGTAAGCGACTCGCCACCAATCGCAGCGCTTGGATTGACAACATCCAGATCTCCACGGCAGAAGTGCCCTCGAGCTTTACCTTTATTGCTATCAGTTGATCTTGTGGAAGCAGGCCCATTGGCTTGTGCACGCTAAAGGGCAGCCGGCTGAACTCGAGGTGCGTTGTTGTGACTTTCCGCAGACATCCAAGACAGCGATCAGGAATCCCCAATACCAAGCTTTTTCATCGTTTCGGGATCGCAAGCCACTGACGCTGTTTAGGTTGTGATTCGCGACCTGTGGGCTTTGCGCTTGCAAAGCCTCAAGAGCAAGGTCGAGGCCCAGTCGGACACGGAAAGCCAGTCCCAGCTCTTTAGCTCTCAGTCCGAAGGCGAAACGGACACGGAGCATGACGAGCACCGAAAGGAACGGAAAGGCCGCAGGGCTGACTCCACCCCTAGGCTCATTGATACCATAGGGCTCTGTTATATTGGCATGCTCCTCCTGCGCCTGCCCGTCAGTCTCGGAGATCTGCACAAGTGGGCAGCTGGCGGCGAGATGATCTACTACAACGCCAAAGAAAGCATCCCGATCGATATGAAAGACAGGCTTCCAGGATTCTATCACGCGGCTTTAGACCCCGACATTATTCTCGAGTCAGAACATCTGCAGACAGCCATCCAAGATCTCGCTATAACCTACAAAAATGATTGCGGCATGGCCATCCCGCAGTTAAACTACCCATTGCTGCTCTTCCGCTACATCAATGACCTCGCCCTGCCACTACAAATCTACCCCGCAACGCTGCGCCTCGCGCGCTTGGTCAATTACACCTTCACATTCCCGCTCGTCTCCAGGCGACGCCTGCGGCTCCTCGACTTCCCAGAAACGCAACTCATAGCGCTGCTCGTCGTAGCCGTGAAGCTGCACTATCCGTTCGACGGCCTCGAACGGAACCCGCACTCGCCCACCGACACAGGCGGCATCGTGCTCGACTGGGCGGCGTGGACCGCCGCCGCGGCCGAGGCCGACGGCCTAGCGAAAACGCCCGGTCGCCTGACGTTCGAGCAGAGCATCGCTGCCTCAGAGAAGGACGTGCTGGCGATGAACGACACGGAGCTCGACGACTACCTTAATTGGTATGAGCGCACGTGGACGGCTGGCGACGACGATGTCGGCACCCGCGCTAGCGACTTCCGCCACCAGCTCTTTCGCATGTTCCCGACTGGGCCGGCGCCGGGGCAGGAGGTCGCGCCGCTGCCGCAGCCGCTGGACGGGGCAGTGTTGGAGGAGGCGAGGGAGCGGCGGCTAGGTGCCGTGTTGGGCGCGGTGAGGGCTGTAGAGGTGGTTCCGGAGGCTGAAGATGGCGATGGTGATGGCGAGGGGAATGCGGGAAGGGAGGTTATGCGGCCGGGGAGCTGTTATAGGCGGTACCGCAAGGAGGAGGATCTGGAGGGGACGGTGACTGCGAAGGTGTTTTACGATGCTGCTGCGAGACGGGCGGGCATGTCGCTGGATGGGTTGGCGAAGGCGGTGTTTGTGGTCGAGAGGTGGTTGGAGGAGTGGATTGTTCAGGAGAGGAAGAGGGAGGCGGGGCTGGAGGAGGGGGAGGAGGAGAGGGAGAGAATGGATGTGGACAAGGAGTGATGGGGTGAAGATGTGTTTTGCGGTGGTTAGTTTGGAGGATGGCTTTCTGGTTGTTATGGTTGTGTTGCTTGGTTTACTCTTCGGGTTTGACAGTACTTCCCCGTTAAGAATTGTGACGGAGTTTTTAAGTCCTTGAACGTTGGCCGCTACATGTTTGCTTTGTGATGATGTTGCTGTTTCCTCGTTGGATTGCACGAATTATGGAACAGTCATGCTTGAAGCTAAACAGCAAAGGCCGCCTGCATCAAGCCTCCTGCCCACTCTCAAGGCGACTAACAGCATCCACTATCGACGAAGATGGAAACCCCTATCACAAAACAATCGTCAAACCTGCTGGCGGTAGGGACACATAAGCTTGCAAGTTCACGAGGGTTCCAAGCTTATTGACACGATATGGTCCCGCATACTGTGCCCAAAGCCCTTTACTGTGCCGCTAGGCTGAAGTTAACGATATAATAGCCCTCTATCGCCAGAGCTTTTGGGTGGTGAGTAGCACCGAGGAACTGTGATGGTCAGTAATGTCTTTTTTACTAGGGCCATGCCTGTACCTGTGACAGTTCTTGCTTATTTTAGTGTCCCTCTCCTTGGTGATTGTGAACTGTGTCTGTACTTCAGCCATGCTGTTCTGTCCTTCAGGGGGAAGAACATCATGGTTAACTGGCATGAATGCAGTTGGCTAGAGGTCGCTTGATCGAAAGCCTGTTGATTAAAGAATGGTTGACAGAACAAAGTACGATCATGAACTCTCCTGGGGATTGGTGCGAAAGGGCCCCATGAGCCCCCGACGCTGTGAACAGTACTCGTACAAGTAAATCAGAGAAGAATCGATGCCATAGGAAAGTGATGAAATAAGAGGCAAAATATCGCCAGTAGATGGATTGATTAGCAAGGAATTTGGTGCGCAATAGGAGCCGACTCTAGTCAATGGTGGAAATCACAAGACGAAGCCGGCGTGCAAACTAGGACATTGGCAGCCTGATTGATGTGCCCACCCAAAGGAGAAAAAAAAAAGTGAAGATGTAGAATAGAGCAGTGAAGCAAATTGCCAACTTTTTGGCGAAAGAAATATTAATGAGATGATCATGCAAACCCGTAGACATATATTTTTCGTATCCAGCAAAGGGGGACGGGAATAAACAAAGCCAATCCACAGCTCATAAACCTCTACCGTTTGCCAGCAGTTGCACGTAGAAGCAAGTGATGATCTAGACGTACGAGGCACGGTGGCCACTCTCGCCAGCGGTTCCTGTGGTTGATGCTGTCATCGAGGCGAAGCCGCCGGCACAACGCCACGACTTCATTCACTAGAATAGCACCGGCAGAAGCGCATAGAACTAGAGAGTGGTACCTGACAAATTGCATTCGATGACAGGTGCTTTACCACGTGAAGGGGGCATGAATGGTGGTTGAGTTGCTGCGGTCGGGGAAGCCAAATCAAGCCGGCTCGCTTACGGTAATCGGGCGCACCGAGCCCGACCTAATATTTGCTCTTCAGCCGGTCCACCTCGACCTCTCATCCGCAGACGACGACTAACGACCCCAGCAAGAGTGAGTTGCTCCCAACGCCCCCAGATACGGCTTACAGGTGATACTGACCTTATTGCGTTTTCCAGTGCAGATGTAAGCCTCCCCAAACCGCCGCCACCGCGACCGCGATCGCGCGCAATCGGACGACAGACTGACCCGCCACCGCAGCTTCGTCAAGACCCTCACGGGTAAGACCATCACCCTCGAGGTCGAGTCCTCGGACACCATCGACAATGTCAAGTCCAAGATCCAGGACAAGGAGGGCATTCCCCCCGACCAACAGCGTCTGATCTTCGCTGGCAAGCAGCTTGAGGATGGCCGCACTCTTTCGGACTACAACATCCAGAAGGTACGGGACTCTCGGACACGCACGACGGAACGCGACGGGGAGAAGCCTGTCGTTTTCCTCCGCAACAGAATGCAGGACGTCGGAACGAAATTTTGAGTCGGATGCTGATGTGGTTCGTTTAACAGGAGTCCACCCTCCACCTGGTCCTCCGTCTCCGTGGTGGTATCATTGAGCCCTCGCTCAAGGCCCTTGCCTCCAAGTACAACTGCGACAAGATGATCTGCCGCAAGTGCTACGTACGTTCCTCCCGGTCCCAATCCACCGCGGCGCACCAGCATCGATGCGATTTTCGCCGCCTCTTCCGCGCATCCGAAAACTAACAAAATCTCTAGGCCCGCCTGCCTCCCCGTGCCACCAACTGCCGCAAGAAGAAGTGCGGTCACACCAACCAGCTCCGCCCCAAGAAGAAGCTCAAATAGATGCATCGCATTGCGGCGATGGTGGCGGTTTTCTGGAGCAGGATTGTGTTCTTACGGCGCTCGATGGTTTGGAGATTGCTTTAAGAGAGCTGTTACATAACTCCATCAGAATTCTTCACGAAGCATACCCAGGGTTCATGGAATACGCGGATGACCACAGGTGCTGCTGAGAATGCAGTGATGTAGTGTCGCTTGCATAAACGCCGCTTCCATGCAAATCAAATCTCCAAATCAAAAAATCGAAGTAATAACTCCCAGAATCGGACACTAGTGAGAACCTCGAATGGACCATCGGACAGATCGAACTGGACGCGCTATGCTTTTGAATCTCAACCAACATCCTTTTTTCCACACGTTCCGAGTCAACCCCAACTTGGCTTTCATAGTCATACAGTGCAGTCGCATCATCCAGGCCGTCATTCATTTAGTCCGCGCCGACAATTGGCGTTTGTAGGTCTGGGTACCTCCGTAACCGCTGAATGCTTTCGGAAAACACGAACCAATCACTCAGTTCTCCATTTCCACCCAATCACTCACTGTGCCAAATACCCTCCATCAACCGGCAATCCCACGCCTGTAACCCACGCTGCATCATCCGAAGCCAAGAACACAGCGGCCTTGGCAACGTCCGTCACATTGCCCCACTCGCCCCAGGGCGTTGTCGAAGTCATCAGCGCATTGACCTCTGGGTTACTGTAGTTCTCACGCGTCTGAGAAGTCTTGGTGACTGGCAACTGTGAGCACAGAGGGATCAAGCTGGTTGTCTTTCTCAAGAGACACTTACAGCCCGGACAGAGGGCATTGCAATGGATCTTGTCCGCCGCGTAGTCCAGCGCAATCTGCCTCGTCATGTTCAGCACGGCGCCCTTGGACGCGCAGTACGCGCCGGCGCCGCCGCGGATCCCGACGAAGCCGAGCATGCTCGCCACGTTCACGATCCAGCCTTTGCGTCCGGTCTCGTCGGGGATCTGGTTGAGGAACTGCGCACAAGCGTACTTGCATCCGAGGTAGACGCCGCGTAGGTTTACTCTCCTACGCCCTTGTTAGTCGCTCGCTGTTCTTTCAATGTCCTGTCTCTTGAATGCACTCACAGCATCCTGTCAAACAGAGCATCATCCTCTTCATGAATGCGCACATGAGGAGTCTTCGTTCCTATGCCCGCATTATTCACGATACTGCCCCGACACAACCATAAAGTCAGTCCGCTAAACTCGGCATGCACCCCCACAAAGCAGCAGCAACAACAACTCCAAACAACAGCACAAAGTACTCACATATCCAGCCTCCCGCCAAGCTTAACCGCCGTCTCAACCGCGGCAAGCACATCCCCCGCCTCGCCGACATCGCAGCGAACAAAAACGGCCTTGTCGACGCCAAAGCGGTCATTGACCAAGTCGTGCGTGGGCAGCGTGTTGATGTCGACGCCGAGCGCGGGCTCGGGCATCAGGTCCGCGCACACGATCAGCCGCGTGCCGTGCGACGCGTACGCCAGGCAGATGGCGCGCCCCAGCCCGCTCGACGCCCCCGTCACCAGCGCCACTTTGTTGTGCAGGCGCGGCAGGTGCCCCAGCAGCGTCGTTGCTGGGTAGGGCGCTGCTGTTGAGGGCGGCAGCGGCGCTGCGGCTGTGGTGCCTGTGGGTGCTTCCGCCATGGTTTGGGAACGTGTCAATTCTGAGTCGCGCTTTCTTCTGGCTGTGTGAGAGTTGGGAGAGCTGCGGCGAGTAGTGTTTCGGTATGGTATGGGATGGATGTCACAGATGGAGGAGTTTGGGAGCAAGCAGGAATTCAGTGATGGAATTTGAGTTTTTTTTTTTTTTTGTTGGCTTTTCTGTCTGGCTTCCAAAGCTATTCTGATGTAATGGCAGGACTGTCGGTCTGGCCGGAGAGTGTTGATCACGACGAAGGCACGGAAGGTCAATCCGAAGCGCGTCCGAAGGAGGGCGGGCATGGAGGTCGACGATGGCGCGGGTGTGAATTGGATTTGCTGACGCGCTAGGCCCTTGCCCCGCACTCTGCCCCTCGCTCTCCGGATTCGGCAATTGCGAGCAACGAAAACACCTGGACATGGACGACCTGATTGTGGTCCGGACGAACCCTTTCAGATGCAGACAAAAAACAATTGTCTTGTAAACGTACGAATACCTCTGCGTCGGGCCAGAAATTGCACGCTCTTGTCGCCAGATACGACAAACTGCTTCGTCACGTCCCGCAGCCGCGCAGGGAAGGCCGACGCGAGTAAGTGTCTTCCCCGCCTCCATACATCAACAATTGCGGGGATGGGGGGCAACGACGAGCAAGGCGAACTCCTCGTGATGGGGGTGATTCGCCATCGCCCATCCAGCTGAAAAGACTTTACCTACCTACCTACCTCGAGGCTGTCCTGCGCGCACCTGTCCGCTTTTTTCAACAACATACAACAGCAGCAACCGCAACCGCCATGTCCGCGTCCTCGGAACCCCTCCACTCCCTCCTCGACCTCCTGCGCGCCCGCAGCACCGTCGACTGCGACACGCTGGACGCGGCCGTCGCCCACGAGCGCGGCCCCTTTGCCGACTGCACGTCGAACCAGGCGATTGCGTGCGCCGAGCTGCAGGAGCACCGGCACAAGGAACTGTTGCAACGCGCCGCGACGCTGGCAAAGGAGCTGCATCCCAAGTACTCGGACGTGGAGCTCAAGACACTGGCGGTCGAGATTGGGGTGCGTGGCCTCCCTACCTATGAACGACGACGACGACGCTGACACCGCAGCCGCCGCTGCCGCAACCCCCAGATGATCCTCCTCGTCCTCCAAATCGCGCCGCACCTAACCGGCTTCGTGCACATCCAAGCCAACCCCTTCGACTCGTACAACGCCGCGCGCACCGTCGCGGGCGCCCAACGCATCGTCGCGCTGTTCCGCGCCGTCGAGCCGCGCTTCGACACGTCGCGCGTGTGCATCAAGATCGCGAGCACGTGGGAGGGCCTGCAGGCGTGCAGGGCGCTGCAGGCCGCCGGCATCGAGACGCTCGCCACGACGCTGTTCACGCTCGAGCAGGCGGCGCTGGCGGCCGAGGCCGGGTGTCGCTACGTCGCGCCGTATGTGAACGAGCTCAAGGTGCATTTTGACAAGAGGTGCGTACCCGGGCACTACCTGCACATGAAAAGAACCGCTTGAATCTCACACCAGCACCAACAACCACAGCTACTGCGACCCGGCCCCCAACCTCGCCCTCTGCGTCCAGACCCAACGCTACCTCCAGCACCACAGCTACCGCACAGCCGTGCTCCCCGCCAGCCTAACCAACATAACGGAATGCCTCTCCCTGGCCGGCGTCGCGCACATCACGGTCCCGCCCGCGCTGCTACGCGAACTGGCCAGCACGCCGGCGCTGGACCCCTCGGCCTTCCCGTCGCTCTTCGACGACGCCAAGCTGGCCAAGCTCGGCATGCCAGAGAAGCTGGCCTGCGTGCGCGAGGAGAGCGCGTGGCGCATGGCGTTTACGCGGAGTGGGAAGGGCGTGCAGGAGAAGAAGATTGTGCAGGCGATTAATATTTTCTGCGATATGCAGGGTAAGCTGGAAGAGGTTATGGGGGCTGTGCTGGGGGGTTCTTGAGAGTGAGAGAGAGGGGCTGGGGGAGGAAAGGCCGTGTATGAGCCCAAGAGTGGAGGAGCGCCAATGCCTTTGTAGGAGCAACAATTGAAACGTCTGATGAACGTACTCATGGGCCCAAGGAGAAAGAGAGAGAGAGAGAGAGCGAGAGCGAGAGCAGAGCAGCGAGACCATAGGTAGAGGAGTACCTAGCCCACCCCTCAGCCCGCGATATATGACGTCAGAACACACCAATCACAGTGCCATACGCAAGCAAAGCTCCATTAATCGTCAACACCTCCCTCGATCCAGCAACAGCAGCACCAGCAGCAGCAGCACCAGCAGCCAGGCCTACATCTACACATAACTACTGCACCTGGTCCATCCGCATTTGTATCCCCTCTCTTCCCTTCCCTCTCCCACCTCACCCCACCCCACGCTTTCGTTCGTTTCATTCTAGTACGTTCGTAGTGCTTGCTTTAACCGTAGTAGGGTAGGTAGCTCCTATATGTTCTCTTCATGCCTTTGTTGTTGTTATAGTTGTAATTGTTGTTGTCGTGTCGTTTCAGCTGCTGCAATAGAAGCTCAGCTCCTGACGCCCCCTCCTATCCTGCACTAGCTACCTTATTCAATACCTATGCAGCAAACAAAAACGCAGCTAGCCACTTTTTTTTGTCCTGCCCTTCTCCGCCTACCACCCACTTAATACTACCTTACTTTCTCTGTCTGAGCTGAGACGGCCTTTGTTCGCTACCCTCCCTCCCTCCTTCCCTCCCTCCCGCCTTCCTCCCGCCTTCCTCCTCTTCTGCCTCCCCCTTCTCTCAAGGTCTTTGTTTAGGGTTTTAGTTTGCTTTACTTTTGTTTCGGCAGCGGACCGACCTCCGACCAAACGGGCATGTGTACCTCTCATTCATCGCCCCTCACTACTCCCGCTGTCCCGCACCGTCATCTGTACCCCCGCCCCTGCGCATCTCGCTGCCGTTTTTCGTATTCGTGGTGCGAAAAGAAAAAGAAAGCAGAACAGAAACTGGTGGTACAGAAATTCGGAAACAAGAATCTCAATACGACAATAAAAAAAAAGAAAGAAAAAAGCGCCATCTTCTTCTTCGTCGTCGTAGCGCAACAGCTCGCGACGAAAAGTAGACAGCGTTTAAGAATGGTTGTTAAGAAAAAAACACGGAAAGGAATAGGAAATAAAAACACATCGCTATGCAGTTGACATAAAAGGAAAGAGTCCAGTCGTCGAATACACCGCAGAAAAAAGTTGCATGCAGCGACTGGGGAAACCGCCCAGGGTATAACCGCTACGCACACCCATATTGTCCAATCCAAACCCATGACATCGTTCGAGCCGCTTGATGCGGCAGCTGTTGCTACATAGCAGCGAGGCGCGAGACAAGCCAGGCATCACAGTAAATGTGAGCTCTTCAATGGCGCGGACGCTTCCAGTAGTATTGCTGTTCTTCGCGTCAGCATGGTATCCATTCTCTTCCGGTTGTAACACGCGATTAGCAGTTTCATCTTCCTTACCTTGTGGCTCTTTCTCACAGACCTGAGACCGGTTCCACCAATGCCGCCCATAACTGCTTCGCGCCGATGCTCGTTGTCGTCCATTTCCGGGACGTAGTAGAACTCGTTCTCCAACTCCTTACCAGAAGCGTCTTTGCCTACCCGGTTGATCTCGCCGATGCACGGAATGTGATCCAGCAGGTGCTGCAGATCCGTGCCCGTAAGGCGGGCCGAAGCCTCCGCAGCCTGCTCTTCAAGAAGGCTGTCCTTGCCGGAGCGGCGAGGACGACGAATCTCAGGGCCACCGCGCAGTTCGACTGGGAGATTACCTAGTATCGTCGACAGCGGCATTGAGTGCAGGCGAGAGAAGGCGAGCTGGTTGATGACATGGTTTTTGACGGGGGAGTCGTTAACCTTGGGGCGTGTCGTGGAGTCGGCACCGGTACGTGCTTGCTGAGGCGAGCCCGATCTCTCCCTCATGGGGCGCTTGGGGCGAGGGTGGGACGTTGGGTAACGGTTGTGCGGGAAGGACGCCATGCGCGACAGAATGTTTTCACCGAATGGACCGAACGAGTGGACGACAGGATCGTTTTCTTCGTCTCGGTCTGAGAACTCGTCAGAGCGGAAGGAATCCCGCGGCTCCTCGGATTTAAAATCCTCTACAGTTGAGCCCGAGTAAAAGGTCTGAGAGGTTGGGGCAGCAGCAACAGCAGCAGGAGCAGCAGCCTTGGCCTGGTCGTCGCCAGACTCACCGTCTTCATATACCTGCACCGCAGGAACTTCGGGAAGTTCTGCAGGGTCGGAGGCTAGGAAAGTCAAGTCGTTCGCTTCAGCAAGCTGCTGAGAACGTGCAGGAGACTCGGGGGATTGAGGGACCATGGGCGGAGGGCTGGAGTCGAAGCGGGCGACCGAAGGCAACCTTCTCCTTGTTGGGGTATCTTCGCAATACGTCGTGTCAGAACCCGCTGACATGCTCCTCTTTCTGCCGCTGAAGGGCCAGACAATCAAGACACGAGTGTCTTGCACGTCCAGCATAATTTCCGCTGAAGGCTTGTCAGACGAGAAGGTATCACCCTTGACCAGCTCGTAGATTTGACCGCGGCAATGGATCTTGCAGCCATTCCAGCCCATGCACTCTATCACAATCTCGCCCGACACGTGCTCGGAGCTAGGCGCGTTGTATTGCACGCGCACATGGACGCGTGAGATGAGACGGTTGGCAGAGAGCTGGTGGTGAGACGAGTTGCTGGACCTCCCCATGAGAATGGGCTCGCCATTTGCGGGGATCTCGATGGAGGGGACGGCACAGAGCGGGTTGCGCTCGGTCAAGGTGGACAGAGTGCGCTGCAAGCCGGTCTTGGCGTGCTGCGGCGGGGACGACGGCAACATGCCAGTGGACGAGGTTGGCATTGGCGTAGGATAGTATTTGAGCTCGACCTTGGGGAGACCAGAGGTCTCGTCGAACTTGCGTTTCGGAGCGCGAGGCAGGGGCGACGAGGAGAGAGGCTCAAAGGCTGGCAGCAGTGAAGGCTTGGGGGCCGAGGTCGGACGCGACGGGGAGAGGGTGGGCGGCATTGGGACGATCTCCTTAGGCGGGGAGTCGTCCATGGTGTGGGACGGGGGCGCTCGACGCGAGTCGAAGGGTTTTGTCGTCGGAGCGGTCGGTGGTTGGCGTGTAGTCAGCGCGTGTGTGGTGAGGCGTGGGTACCTATCAGGGCACGCGGCGCTCGGCGGGGCACGGGCGAGCGAGGGCGGGCGGGCAGGATGGGGGAGGAAGCAAAGACGAGACGACTAGAGGGCGGTGGCCATGACGGAGGAAAGGCCAGAGGAAACGAATTTGAAGGAGCTGAGACGCGGTGCGCGCTTCGACTAAGGTGGATGCTGCTGAACGCGGGCGCTCAGACTTGGTTCTCCACACAAGGAAGAAAGCCGCGTGCGTGCCGTGGCATCAAGGCACACCTCCGACGCGGCCAGTCCCGATGAGGCACGCATTCTTTTCCCAGCCAATTTTTGGCCCTTTCACTACCAGTCTGCAACCCAGTGGCCTCTTGGGCAGGGGGGGTTACGGATAGAGGCCCAAAAGGGCCCCTCTCTCTCCTCTGCGCAGAGACGCTGCTGTGGCCTCAGCCGTGCCCTTTGCTCCGCCCAGCCCTCACCCCATGACATCGGAGCGCGTTCTAGTGGGTGCCCGTCTTAGACGCGCCCGCATCATACATGCTGATCTTTTTCCCACGGCCTGCAGAATCCGGCTGTGCTGGGCTCACGGGTCAGCCACTCAATATCCAACCTGTCGTACCACGCGTTACATCAATTGCCCAGCTCCTGCCCAGGCTTTCGTCTGCGCGGCACGCGTCTCGGCCGCCCTGGAGGCTCAACCGAGAGTCAATCCACCTGCGCGTCGGCACGCGACAGCGAAGAGCTTGCCTGCTTAGTCGTGTCCGCTTTAACGCGCGGGTGCCGGCGTCAACCCACACGATAAGCTTGCATTTTCTCCGCCAAACACCGTCCGTCTACGGCCCTGCACCGCTGCAAATATGACCTTGAGTCTTGTGGAAAGTAATTGCCCCCATCGATCTGCGAGGCCCTTTATGCCAGCGCAGACCGGCCACGACCAAATCGCCCGGACCTCATACGGTTCATGATGTTATGCGCTTCGGCTAGGAAAATGGCTGGCAGAAATATGTCAATTGCCGGCGGTGCGCTGGGCGGTGCGCTCGGCAAATGCTCGGCTCTCAATCTCTCGCTTAGTCATATGCCTGTGTCCGATCCCCAGCAGGAATTGGGAAGCTCCAGCCGTACATTCCCTCATCTCGACCGCGTTCGTTACTCGAGTACCACGCCCCTAACCCAATCCGCCGTATAAGCTCGCTAAGCTTACTTCTACGCGTCGAGTGCCCATACCACCGTCACCGATCGCACACCGCGCAGGCCAACTACGAACTAGACCCCGCATACGTACAGAGAACCTCAGGACCAATGCTTTTCTTTAACGAGTCAGGAGAAACGCATATCTAAGAGTTGGAAGAACGTCGATCCTACGTTTAGGACCCAGATACGACCGCGCTGCCGAACTAGCTAGCGAGCGAGGTGAAATCGAGACAGGACGTTATAGAGGAGAATCTAAGCCTGCAAAGCAAGCGGAGTGACTTATGTTAATGGCAGCGAGAAGATGACCAAGGAGAGCTGAGTGAGCGCTAAGAAGAAGGAAAAGATGGAGGGCAAGCCCGTCAGGAAAAGAAAGGGAGAGCAAGGAAGCCCAGGGTAACGACCCTGGCAGATAGAAAGCCGAAGGCGCAAAAGGCGGCCGCCAAAGTTGAACGCGGCGACTATGATGTCGACAAAAACAAGGGTGTTTGGTCGTCAAGATTGGACATGAGAAAAGGTCGTTAGGGAAAGCGAGTTCCTTGGTCAGTACCAGCTTTCCCTCACGCCGAAGAGTGGACAGGTAATTGGCATGCTTCCACTGGGTGAGGTGTTTGCTTGGAGACGACCATGGCCGCATCTATCTATCAATGCTGACCGAATGACTACGTTGATCAGCGGGCGATGTCTTTTAGACATGCCGATGCTAAGCGTCGATCATGCGCCGGGCTCGCGGAGAGGGCTATCCTATCATAGCACGCTTATGCCAGTGGCTTGAAATCTTCTCGGTGGGCGCTATGTGGCCGGATGAGAGTCGATGAAATTTACGTACAAAAAGTAGTTCTCGCAAAATACTTAGACATGCTACATTGATGCTGGGCGAATCATGTTATGAGCTTACCCCTCGCGGCAGCGCAAAGATGCATATGATCGCTTTCATCCGCTTGGCTGGTCTCATCACGGCTTGCCTAACCGGTCGACCAGTCAAAAATCAGGGTCCCGCACGAGTGGAATGCCAGATGAACAGATGTTAAAAGGGTCCGGCCTGCCTGACGCGCGACCAACCAACGCCAAGGGTTTTTCCAACAACATCCACATGCCAAAGCGCGTTGCCTAGGCGGTCGGTGGTCTTGAAGATCGCTAGAGTTCAAGGCTTTTTAGCTCCGCGCCCGCGCCCATGCAGCATGCCCGTTCCGCGTGGGGCTAGATATAGTAGCGGCCTGAACTCTTTCCTTCCAGCGAACACCACCACCACAACTCCTTGGAAAAGGGAAATCCCTTAGGTGGCGCCAGCTGCCTGCTTATCCGTCCATTCACCATGCCGAACTCCGCCGACGAAAGGTCGTCGTCGCCAACCTCGCAGCCCGCCTCGAGAAACTCCCGCAACGCTTCCGCTTCGCGAGCCAGTCACCAGCATGCTCCCACCCACCCAAGCGGCCTACGCGAGTCTCACTACCCCTCGACTTCACCAGAGGACAGGATGGCCGGACCGTCAATGAGCGGAAACGACTCTTCGCGCCGCGGAAGAGAGCTCTCAACAGAAATCTACGAACCCCGCGTCGACAACGACGGTATTCGGCCAACAATTCCCGAGCACGCCTCTGCCGCATCTGCACGCTCCGCCTCACCCGCGGCCGGTTCTTTCGACGAGCCGGGTGACTCTTCGACGAACATTCGCTCGCGTCTTTTGGGCCAGAGAGACTGGGATTGCGCCTCGGGGTGCGGGTCGGATAACTGCCAGCATGGCGCGCTGTCGCCGCGACCGCCCTCCCACAGGAGCTACGGCAGTTTTGCGGATTTTGCCCACTCGCAAGGGCTCGGCGGCCGGTATCCTGGCGGCCTAGGCGACAGAGCGGGCACCAGCTCGGATATGGCGCAAGAACTGCTGGGTGAGTCGATCACAGACGGCCTGCTGGGTGGGCAGGGTAAAAACAACACGACGGCATGGTTGGCGGATAGACATGGAATCAAGAATAGACGAGCAATGTGGGTAGCAACGTTTTATTACTCTTCGGCTGTTTCGGGACTGCTGACACGCGGAGTCATGTCCGCCTGCTAGAGCCGCTTGCTGACCGCTGACACAGGTACCTGGCGTATTATATTCCAATCTTCAACTGGGTAAAGCAGTACAAATGGTCGTATCTACGGGGAGATCTGGCTGCCGCGGTCACCATGGCTTCCTTCTATATCCCCATGTCTTTGTCCTACGCCTCCAACTTGGGACATTTGCCTCCGGTCAACGGACTGTACAGTTTCGTCTTCAACCCTTTGATCTATGCGATCCTTGGTACCGCGCCTATGATGATTGTTGGCCCCGAGGCGCCGGGCTCTTTGCTCACTGGCGAGGTGGTCAGAGAAAACATCAGAAATGGCAACAGCGGAGAGCTTGATGGCCAGAGAAACGCAGAAATTGCCGGCATTGTTACGTCCATGGCTGGAGCCATTATCCTCTTGTCAGGTTTGTTCCGTCTTGGTTTCTTGGATAGCGTGCTCAGCAGGCCCTTCCTAAGGGGCTTCATCAGCGCCGTTGGCGTTGTCATCTTTGTCGATCAGCTCATTCCTGAGATGGGTCTCGTCCGCATTGCATCCGGCCCTCATGGCATAGAGCATGGCAGTTGTACAGACAAGATTGCTTTCCTATTCAAAAATGCTGGCAAAGCGCACAGTTTGACGTGTGCTGTATCATTTGGAGCATTTGCAATTATCATGGTTTGCAGGTAAGTTCCATGGTATTATTACACAGACGAAGCTAACCTATACAATAAAAGGGAGCTTAAAAAGCGACTACAGCCACGCTTCCCCCCGGTTGCCTACGTTCCGGACCGCTTCATTGTTGTTGTGTTGTCCGCCATTTTTACTTGGAAATTTGGCTGGGACAAGCAAGGTTTGGCCATTCTTGGAGACGTAACTGCCGGTGGAGGAAAGCTCTTTGACATCCACTTTCCATTCGATATTTCGCACCTCCAGTACGCCTCTGATGCCTTCGGAACGGCATTTACGATTGCCTTGCTGGGCTTCTTTGAATCTTCCGTCGCGGCGAAGAGTTTGGCGCCGGCTCCGGATGGCATTCAGAGTGTCAACTTGAGCGCAAATCGCGAGCTTGTTGCACTGGGCGTGGCGAACCTGACAGGTGGGCTGTTCATGGCGCTGCCGGCGTTTGGTGGATATGGCAGGAGCAAAGTGAATGCTTCAACTGGCGGCAGGACGCCGATGAGCAGCATTTTCCTCAGCTTGATTACGATGTTCAGTGTCGCCTTCCTTCTCCCTTACTTTTTCTATATTCCTGTAAGCATTCTTTCTTTGATTCCTGCGAAGATGCATGCTAACCTTTGCACAGAAAGGAGTGCTCTCCGCCATGATCGGCGTCGTCGCCTACTCTCTTATCGAGGAAGCACCGCATGACATCCACTTCTTCTGGAAGATCCGCGGCTGGTCTGAGCTCTCACTTATGCTAATCATCTTTGTGGTGACCATCTTTTGGGATATCAAGAAAGGTATCGCCGTGGGAATCGGACTATCCCTTCTGCGCGTGATCCGCCACTCGACCCGGCCCCGCATCCAGATCTTGGGCCGCATTCCGGGCACAGCGGATCGGTTCGAGAACGCCGAGATCGCCCCTGGGCGGGTAGAGTTCATCGAGGGCTGTCTCATCGTCAAGATCCCGGAGCCGCTAACCTTTGCCAACACGGGCGCCCTGCGATCGCGGCTCAAGCGGCTCGAGGAGCACGGAACCAACGCAGCGCACCCAGCGCTGCCGCGTGTGCGCCGCGAAGAGCACAACAAGAATGTCATCTTCGACGTACATGGTGTCACGTCGCTCGACGGTGCGGGCGCCCAGGTTTTGTACGAGATTGTGCAAAGCTACGTCGGACGTGGCGTGCGTGTTTTCTTCTGCCGTGTGCCGCGCCGCGGCGGCGAGGTGTGGCGTCTCTTCGAGCAGAGCGGCATCGTCGACACGTGTGGCGGCCCCCGCCACTTTGTCAACAGTGTCGAGATGGCGCTGCGCATGACTGAGCTCGAGAGCATCACGGATGCTCTGGATGCGAGAGAGGGCAGGGCATCGGATGAGGGCAGGACGTAGGATTAAGGAGTCGCAAGGGCCAGATTTGAGCTGGCGGTGAGAAGATCGAGACTCGAGAGCGGGCCTGGACTTGTGGATGCGGATGCGGGGGTGGGGCGAAAAAAGTAACTCTCCCTTTCCTTATTTTCCCTATCTACACTTCGGCCTTCTCTCCGCGCAGGCCTCTATACCTCGCTTCGGGTATCAGAGCCGTGTAGTGCGGCTGATGCCTCGGCCTGGGGTAGATGATGGAAACTACACTAAAAGCAAGCTTTTACGTTGCGGGTGCGACGGTGGCATTTTTTACACTTCAGCCGTAACTGCAAGTCTGGTGACACGCGGGAATAAATAGCGGGGCTCCGAGCGAACCCCGTGGGGAGAGGAGGTGTAGGTGCGGAGAAAGCCAGCCAGCCAACGCCAGCCAAGCCAGCCAATGCCAGCCAGCGTGCCCAGCACCTCTTACCTGCGCCAAGCTTTCTCCGCCCTCTGCGTCATCCACCTGTTCGCATGCGGTCACGCAGGCAAGCTTTGCCGCCTAGAGTGCTTTACCCCAGTCTTGCCCTAGCCCACTAGTGGCTTCTTCTCCCCCGTGGGGATGGCGCGAAGGATTCTGCTCCATGTCGGCAGCTTACACGGCTGATGCACCAGATCGTGTGCCGCGGCGGGCGTTATCCTAGGTGTGGAGGGGCGGCATAGCGGCGCAGAAAGCGATTGACGACGGGTACATAAGCCGTGCATGTCCGTCCCCGTCGTCGAGATTCTTCCTGTCTTCTGCGACTCGTTCTTCACTTTGCATCCTGGGATCCCCGCCACTGCAGCCCCAGTACCTTGGCTCGCCGGCTTGAGAAAGCTTGCCTTCGCCCCTCCCGCAGTAGAGGCTGGGCGCTCTGCAGCTAGTCGTGCGACAAGCAACCCAAGCTTTCCATCTTCCTTGTCAATACTCCGTACAACCAAATCACCATGGATGCCGAGAAGTACCGTGGCACCGAGCATATGGAGCACCAGGCGGCCCCGCCCATCGGGTCGGGTCAGGCCGAGGAGCCGTCAATGAGCGTGGGCCGGTACATAGCGACGCGGATCCCGACGCTGAAGCCGCCCATGGCCAAGGCGCCGAACCCGTTCAAGCTGCTGACGCTGCTGAACACGCAGCAGTGGATGTTCTTCCTGGTCGCTTTCATTGCATGGACGTGGGATGCGTTCGACTTTTTCACCGTGTCGCTGACGGTCGAGGACCTGGCCGAGTCGTTCGATAAGAGCAAGAAGGACATCACCTGGGGCATTACGCTGGTGCTGATGCTGCGCTCCGTCGGCTCCATCATCTTCGGTATCGCGGCCGACCGCTGGGGCCGCAAGTGGCCGTTTGTTGTCAACAACGTCCTGTTCATCATCCTTGAGCTTGGCACCGGTTTCTGTCAGACCTACAACCAGTTTTTGGGTGTCAGGGCGCTGTTCGGTATCGCCATGGGCGGCTTGTACGGCAATGCTGCGGCGACGGCCTTGGAGGATTGCCCCGAGGCGGCCAGAGGTATCATCTCAGGCATGCTGCAGCAGGGCTATGCCTTTGGCTACCTGCTCGCGACAGTGTTTGCCAGAGGCCTGGTCAACACCACGCCTCACGGCTGGAGGCCGGTAAGTTATTCATCCCGCCCGACATGCGAAGGAAGGACAAGCCAGCTAACGATTCCCAGCTCTTCTGGTTCGGCGCTGGCCCACCCGTCCTCATCATCCTCTTCCGGCTCTGTCTCCCCGAGACGCAAGCCTACCAAGAGCGCCAACGCGTGCGCGCAGCCGGGCACAACGTCGGCAAGACATTCGTGGCAGAAGGCCGCGTCGCGCTCAAGAAGCACTGGCTGCTTCTCATCTACCTCGTGCTACTCATGGCGGGGTTCAACTTCATGTCGCACGGCTCGCAAGACATCTACCCGACGATGCTCAGCAACCAGTACAACTTCAGCCCGAACGCGGTGACGGTGACGCAAGTGGTCGCGAACCTGGGCGCCATGGCCGGGGGCACGACAATCGGGTACTGCAGCCAGATCTTCGGGCGGCGGTTCAGCATCATCGTCATCTGCGTGCTCGGCGGCGCGCTGCTCTATCCCTACACGTTCGTGCGCAACGAGCGCATCATGGCCGTCGCCTTCTTCGAGCAGTTCTGCGTCCAGGGTGCCTGGGGCGTCATCCCCATCCACCTGATGGAGCTCTCGCCCGGCAGCTTCCGCACCTTCGTCGTCGGCACTGCGTACCAGCTCGGCAATCTCGTGTCCAGCGCCTCGTCTACCATCGAGGCTACCATCGGCGAGCAGTTCCCTCTGCCCCCGAAGGGCAAGGTGGAGCGCTATGCGTATGGAAAGGTCATCTGTATCTTTATGGGCTGCGTGTACGCCTACGTTATTGTGCTCACCCTGGTCGGCCCGGAGTATAGGGGCCGCAAGTTCGATGTTAGACATGATGCGGATATGGTCGAGGCGACGCATAATGACCATGAGGGTATCGAGCGCATTGTGCATCCCGATGCGAGGATGAGTGTGGGAGACGGTGAGAAGGCGGGCGCGGTTAGACGCGAGGCGGTTTAGAGGGTTGCTGGGGAGGGCTTCTTGGATGTGTCTTACGGTATATAACGAGTTTTCTTCTGGTGTAATTAGTTTAATGAGAAATGATCACGTCTTATTCCACATACCTACCTGCATGTTTATCTGCTTCGCTATAATCTTTTGCAGTGTCAGCGCTTTATAGCTACAGGACGACAGCTACATGCGGCGTAGAGTTATGTAGCCCATTGCTAGACGTGGAAACAGTCGCGTTCGACTTGGGTACACGTCTGTTGTATCTGTATTACGGGTTTCTTGGTTGCCAGGACCGCAAGTCACACGGAGCTCGCGGAAATTGTTAATCACAAGGTGACAGTGGTGTGGGGTTGTGATGTTTAATACGCTGTTGTTTTGCTTGACTTCACGTCGTGCTGTGGCTGCGGCTGCGGCGGCGGGGCGGTAGATGGAGTCAAAGAACTTCAGGACTTTTAATCACCCGGCTTCACTTGCGGGATCTAGTCGAATTGAGTCTTGTCTGTTTTCATCGTGTGGGCATGAATGCATTCGACCCTATGCAGATGTCAACCGATGACTAGATAACGACCATACCAAGCAGTGACAAACATATTCCCATGACATGGCAGATAACAAACAAAAATATCAATCTTGCGAAAAAGTGACAAAAAAGAACTGACGCAACCAAGAATCGAACTTGAACTTTCCAAAAAGAGAGGCAGACAGTTAAGGTGTAACACGCTCACGGGGTGCGTCACCACTTCGGCTCAAACCAGTAGACCAGCGAACCGGTAGACCAGTAAGAACGGGAGGATATACTCTCAACGGCTGCACTGGCAGAATGAGTTGCATCCCGGCCTCATATAGTAATGTTTTTGCGACGTACTTTAAACTGAAAAAATATTATATTCATATTCAACGCCCCGGTTAAATTGTTCACACACACACACCCCCTCTCTCGATGCCTCGCCTACTTTTTCCTCTAGCGTAAAAAGAAAGCTCATAATCTCGTACACGCTATTGTCCCGTCTCTACGACGGGCTCTCAGCTACCCTCTACTGTACCCTAAGATATTTTGGGTAATTCGGCAAGGCCGAAACCTACAGTGTCAATTCTGTAGCCTAGAAGACATATAAGATCTAGACGTATTGTGATACTACTGCCACGCATAAACACTAAATGAATGATAAGCAGTAAGGTATTAATAAAGGCATTAAGGTTATCGCGTGGGGCGGAAAGTTAACTATCCGGTTCAAGTTTAAACTAACTTCACCGCTAAATCTTGTTCGAGTTACGATAGTGGGGCGTGGGGACAGCAACCAAGTAGGTAGGTAATGATTCGCTCCTACCTTGTTACTTTCCTGTACAACTTAATCGCGAAAAGCCCTTCTCACGTACAGTACAACGCTTCAGTATGCTCTGCCCTTCTAATTTTTTATCACGTCGCTGTTGACTCTTTATCCCCAGCAATGCTTGCTCTTGAGAACATGCAATCATACTGTGTCGCGCGATATTCTACTAGAATATCCGTTTGTATTCTGAGCCAGTGGTTTTTAGGCCCAGATAATTTACCCATCCCTTAACGACATATTATGTGAATTCTACGATACCTATAAAGTACTCCATAGGTAGGTAGCCATAATAGAATATTACGCTACGGTTAGTAGACACTATATAGCTATAAAGAAATAAAAAGATATAGGGTATAATATTATTTTTTATTTTTATTTTTAATAAATAGGAAGGCAAAATATAGAGATATACAAGGGCATTCTACGAGGGTTTAAAAATAAAATATTGGGAGGATAGAGAGTATATTATATAAGTTTACACATATATTATCACGTGAGGTGGGCAAATTATCCGGTGCCTATTTTTGGGCTTTAACGAGCTGAGTTTCCCCAAAAATTACCTAAACTGTTGCCAGTTTGTTAGACATCTCGCCTCCGCTAGGCTATCTGAAACCGTTACGCAACACCCATTAGTAACCTGTCGTAGGCACGAGGCGACTTGGCGTGCAGCTATGCCGTGAGAAGTTATATACACACGCCGCTAGGCCATGACATGCCGCATACACGATTCGTAGACCGTAAGCCGCCACACATACACGACCCGTGAGACGCCACATATACACACCGCTAAGCCATTTCAGAAGCTTTCTATTCGCTACTACTACTAAAGAACCTGGACCTAACCAAGGTCTGTTAGAAGCGGAAGCGCTACAGCCTGCATAAGTGCGTGTAACCTCGTCGAAGCGGATTTGTTCGATTTTCCTTTCAGGGTTTATATAAATATATGGGTCCTAATTACAGTCCAGGTACTATTGAAGCTTCTCAAGTGAGCGCTCCCATCCGAAGTGCTCTCGTCTATTACTGTTCACTGCTGCCATCCCCGTCGTTTTATACTAAAATCAATCCTACATATCCTTGAGTATTTGGCCCTCTGATACGAACTATCCTATAGTAATGCCAGTCATGCCTCGTTCCTTTTCGCGCAGTGATGGGATTAACCTGGCTGGAGTACTTATAGCACTCGTAGCCACGATCATCTCTATCATTTTGGTATATATCAAGTGTCGTAGAAGGTTCAGGTCGCGTTCCCGAGGTAAGTGATCGATTAATACTTACTACTAATCGTGACGCTCTAACCAGCAATACAGAGAGGTCCGCAGACGAAGAAGAGCTTGACCACCTTGGTCCGCAGGCGTCGGGTCATCAGCAAAACCACCGTGGAACTCTCTGCAAATCTTTCACCGCACCATTATAGCTCAAAGAGAAATCAACAACTGCTTTGAACCACACTTCCAGACACCGAGTTTAAGGAACCAGCGTTCTGCCTTCGTTCAGTGAGCAGTAAGCCGACGTGGTTTGTTGGAAAGTGAGGAGCAAACCGGAGTTTTATGGTCGGATGAGGCGAATAAGCGCAGAGACAGTCAAATAGTCGGTTTCTTTTAGGAATGCGTCATGATAAATACGGCTCTGGATGATATTTGCGCATGTGAAATAAAGTAGTCGTCTCAGTTAATACTAAATGGTCGACATTTCGCGTAGCACGCGACAAGCTTTCCTTTATAAGTTATTAAGTTCTTGAGTAGCCGTCAGCTCAGCGAAAGAAGAATATGGGATCTCTACGAAAAGTCGAGGCTATTTAGAGTCCGGGGCTCTAAGAGGAGATGCTAATCACTGCAATAGCTGATGCATTAATGCTGGGATACGTAAGTAATGTTTGGAAAGCGTGTGCCAAAGCAGTTTTTTGAAAAGCCCGTAAGCGAAAGTAGGAAACAGGGGTGTTATGACGTATTTGTCTGGGACAGCACCAGAAAAAATTCCTGCCTGCATCGGCTGTCGCACGCTGAACACTGAAGAGTAATCCTCCACCATTTACTGTTTAATGAACAAAAGAGACGGCGTAGAACTTGCGGCGTTCTTCTTTTAAGGGCATTGTATTAAAACATACCTGCGGTAAAGCATATGTAGTTGAACCTGCAACCACTGCTGCTTTTACAAAGTCTGGGTTGGTGTAGGGAGCTGATCTTCCCTCGGCCATATCATCCAAGCATCGGAATATTACTAACGTCCTGGAATGGTGTCTGGTGACGAATTGTAAATGACAACATCTGGAGAAGTAGGAGGCGAGCGTATGTATGCTGACATGTGGCTGTCACGTGGGGGCAAAGGAGGAAGGGAGGAGCTTTGGAACCTTGCTGGCTTTTCAATATAAGGACAACAGTAGAAAATCAAATCGGAGAAATGATTCCCAGGCCTGGACTCTGACAAAAGGTGGCCTGTGCAGACTGCAGTTGCATGAGGCGATGTCAAGACGTTCCATCCACAATCAGGAAAGGTGGCAGGTCATCAGATCGTGTTTAACCCCGCACTTCGGAAAAGGTGGCAGCTCGTAACTCGTCAGGCAGATATTGTCCAATCCCGTATCCTGAAGAAAGGTGGTCTGTGTGCAGCGGTTGTCCAATCCCAGAAGCTACACCATAAGCCTCTTTGTTAATTCTCCGAAGCGAACCGTGACGCCTGTGAAAACGGAAGCGGCTCTGCCCGCCCGAGCAAGGCTGAGCTCCACGCCACACTGTTGAACGCCGATGATCAGTTCGGCTATGCATGTCTTCAGCTCGTCCTTTCGGCAAGAACGCTCATATCCTCTTCTTCCGTGTTAGCGTCTTCTTGCATAGGCAGTTCCTATGCTTGATTGAGAAGAGATCGGCGTTTGTCGGTTGCTTTGCACAGCCTGAAAAAGCCTCTTGGTAACCTGTAAGACAGTGACCGGAGACGAGCGGAGGATCTCGAAAAATGTATATAAATGCATATTTGCTCCGCTCGTATTGCAAACCACGCTCCTTTTCTACCACAGCTATACAGCCATGCCAGTATTGCCTCGTTCTCTATCACGCAGTGACGGGGTCAGTCTAGCCGGTGTGCTCATCGCGCTCGTTACTGCAGTCATTTCCATCATTTTAGCGTATGCCACGTGGCGCAGCTCGAGATCCAGGTCGCGAATTAGAGGCAAGAACTCGCACAACACTTGGCACGAATCGCGGCGAGCTAATGGGTCTCATGAAGCAGAGGACTTTGAGGATGAACACGAACTGGGTCGTGTCGCCATGCGGAACTCGAGTCAGCAGCGACATGTTTACCAGAGAGCTCTGTCTGTCCAAGTCCGTCGAAGTGTGTCCCCATCAAAAAACCGGAAGAAAGATCGAACACTAATTCCGAGGCCGCAATTCTAGATGCCGACTCCGAGGAATTGGTGTTTACCTTTTAATTCAGCAAGTCGACCGCATTGCCTATTGGAAGGAACCATGGAATTAGCTTTTCGCATTAAAGACATGGAATGGGCACAAAGGCATTCGAAACGTGGGGAGATACCCTTGAGAGAGGGTCATGGAAGATGGGAATGCTTCTATTGTAGACATGAGATGACGTTGATGAACCTCGGACGACGAAATATAGAGATATGGCGTACAGACTCAGACTCCAATAATGGATATTTCCTAATTTTTATGACTAGGTCCTTAAACTTTGCTCTTCAACGGCTTTTGGGATTGAATGTTTTGCTCTGGATCAAGTAATTTTAGAGAGTGGATCGAAACATCGTCGTAACAATGTTTTGCAATATCTCAAGCAGAGGTGCTAGAATGTTTTTCTGTTCCCTTAGAGATATCCAGAGCTCTAACAAGGTATTAAGGACTGTACAGTCAGTAGTACATGGTACCGGATAGATCCTGGGAAGACCAGTGAACTCACGAGGACCGTCGTAACATTCAGGTACAAAAACCGCTTCAAAGTGAATTCAGACTCCATTTCCCGCAAGTTCTTTGCCTTGGTAGTTTTTGTGCCCTGGAAAAATCTCTACGCCGCGTGGTATTCGAGTGGGCTGTGCCATGTGGCTTGTGTACTGTTACACAGTTTCAGGGGAAGCTGTGTCTCGCTTTGGTGGCCATCAGCAGTCACGACTGTCTGATGAATACTGGCCTTGAAGAGGTTTCGAGATCGACAGTGTCGTCGGAACTCCCTATTGATCTGCTCGGTCTGGACCAAGTGATGAAACTGATAGATATGCTGCTCAATTTGCCGGAACTGCACGCAATGATGCGCATGTGTAGTTGAGAAGTGAGGCAGAAAGTCGAGAATGGGAATGAAAAGGCTCATGTACTAGGAGCAGCCAAGCAAGGATATATTTGTAAGTCGAATCGATATCCTTGTCAGATAGCTCGCTCGTAGCCTTCTTTCTTGTGGGGCTTAAGTTCTGGGGGCCAAAACCCGGATAGATCTAGGCTGTAGAAAAGTAATTGTCTTTATAATGTATCAGCGTCATAAGGAGATTCCAGGCATAATGGATTGCCTATTCGACATGGAAAGAAAGATATAACTTGTTAGCAGGAAAAGAGCGATGATGAAGGAAGGCTGAAGCTCAGCCTTGCGGTCGAAAGAAAAGTGCACTAAGAAATGGTCTGTGCACGGATCACAGCCAACGTCAACTTCGCACGTGCCGAAGGACCTTTCCATCTCTCTCTTCTTCTGTGAGGTTGCGAACATCAACAAAAGCATCAATTCAGCCCCCGTTTTTGCCTTGGAGTATGTGGCCATATTTCTGGGGCGTCAGCTGCATCCTTTCCCGGTGAACATGCCTGTTCGTACCACCTGACCGTCGTTCGGTAACGACTCAGCTCGTCCAGTGGCCGGTCCTTAGCAGCGGCTGTCCTTACGGGAAGATGTCCGTCCATGGAAATCATGGATGTATGACAGTGCAAGGCACAAAACGAATTACACATCCACTGTCCCTGCCTCTTCTTCAGATGGGATCATCCATCAAGGATTCCAGCCTTAGGGATCCATGAGCTTGAAGCACAGTTGAACAACACATGTGGAGCCTGATAAGCCCACGCAACAGAGTCTGACAACTAAAAATATCGTGAGCAAGCTCACAGGAAAGCTTCCAATCGCTTTGATTCTCCTGACTTTCCTACCTTGGAACTGTGTAGCCGGGACAAAAATCTGCATACAGCCCAGGCTGGCATTTGTCAGGTCCAGGATGGGAATCTGTCTAACGCAGGAACGATGCATACAATCGTTGCCTGGAATACGGTGTGCAGCGGCATGATCCATCCGGATGACGCGGACTTTCTATTCTGATGCATTTGTAGCCGTGGCAGGCTGCATAAGCGCCAGATTGATGCCGGCGGGACGGCCCGCACCGTTGCCTCTCGACCATGCGCAAGAACTGACGCAATCTTCCGTCGAACACGACTACGTCCACGTCGTCCATCCCTCTACCAGGACGTTGACGCTGCGAGTTTTACTGTGTCTGCTTTGGCTCTAGCTGCACTCACTTCCCGCAGGTCTCTGTGGACGGTCTCTTCCTTCGCGACTCACCTTACACAGCCGAGTCTGCTGCGCCAGCGGCGTGTTCCCGGATAGGCTTTCTGATCGTGTCTCCCATGTGCTCTTAGGCTATCTATATAAGATCTATCCGCCAGTTTTCAACTTATCGCTATATTTTCGCATTCAGTTCTACTATCTCCAGGCAATCCATTCCATTCGCTTCGAACTCGATACACATTCGTTCGAAGTTTCAAGATTTACGTCAAACCAATCCAAGGAACAACACGACACTCCCACATCTCCTTATACTATCGTTCGACATTGTGTTTGTCGCAACATGCCACCCATCAGCAGATCTCTTTCAACCGGTGATGCAATCAACGTTATTAACGTGGTTGTAGTCGTAATGGCAGTCATGCTGTCCGTCGCCATGGCTTACGTTACTTGGCGTTCTCGCAGGCTGGGACAGAGCCATACAGGTAGGAAAGCATAATAGGTTAGCTGAGATGTAACGATGTTAATGATGCTAAATCACAGATGCTTCGAGAACAAATTTGTCACCAGTGTGATGATAGAACGGAAATCCTGCTGGTCAGGATTTATTTGCTGCACTATCGCGTTGCTTGAGGCAACTATATTATCATGGGAGAATTATTTAGGGAGAACCTGCACTTGCCTTAATACACAACTGGAAAGAGGATGGGGTAATGCGTTGTAACTTAGCTTTGGGGCACCTATGGGTTGATCCTTGAGATGTTACTCAAAGCAAGATGTCGTCTTACCCTACAACAAACAAAAAAATTATATTTCCATATGGCGAATTGGAGTTGATATGCCTATCAGTTCAACGGCGAATTGAGTCTGACCAAGTGGTTTATTCATTCAGCCACTCAGCCTTATGGCAAAGACAACGGCCCTTCCCGGCTATCAAGCCACCACTAAGCCACTTTCGGTGATGACCGGCACAATTATCCCCCCGGCTTCGCAAAGTTGTCCCGATTTAAAGAAAACCACATGCTATTTCACACCGTCGGATGAATGATTGGACAAACAGAAAAAGTCTATTCAATCAAAACACGGTCACGAGCTGCGCAAGAGGAGGTATAAAGAAATGCTGGAGCATTGAGAGTGTACATTCTATTCTATAGATACCATAAGCCTCACTCCTCTCCCTGGTCCCCTACCAAATCATCTACTTTCTCAGTGCCATCTAGAGCACCGTCTTCCTCTCCCCCAAGATCCACCCCCGCAGTAAAATCTCCCATTCAAAACGACCACACTTAAACCTCCAAACCGCCACCAACAACCATGACCACCACCCCACCCCCAACCATCGCCTTCTTCGGCGCAACAGGGGGCTGCGCATCCCACGCCCTCGCCCTAGCCCTCAAAGCCGGCTACAAAGCCACCGCGCGTACGCCCTGTCCTTACCACAAACCCCACTGCAGCGCATACTAACCCCACCTTACGCGGCGCAGTGGCGCGCACGCCGGACAAACTGCGCACACAGCTGCTCTCAGCGCCGCACAACCTCCCCGAAACGCTGCTCTCGAGCGCCCTCACCATAATAGCGGGCGACGCGACCTCCACCGCAGCCGTGCGCGCCACGCTCACCGTCCCCGGCACGCACCTCGCGCTCGCGGCCAGCGTCGTCAGCGGCATTGGTAGTGTTCCCGCCCTCTCATTCAAGAACCCCCTCTTCCCCGTCACGCTGCAGGAGCCGCACGTGTGCGAGACGGCGGCGCGCACGCTCGTCGACGCCCTGCGCGCCCTGCTGGCCGAGGGCTACGCCGTGCCACCGCACCCGCTGCTCGCGGAGCCGCAAGGGAGGCGCGCGCCGCGCTTGCTGGTCATCAGCAGCACGGGCATTAGCGCCGCGCGCGCTGATGTGCCGTCTTTGCTGGTGCCGGTGTATTACTGGCTGCTGGATGTGCCGATTAGGGATAAGGCGGCGCTGGAGCGCGTTGTTCTTGAGGCGCGCAAGGAGGGCGTCTTGGACGGGTTGGTGGTTGTTAGGCCTCCGGTGCTGGTGGATGGTGAGGGGAGGGGGTTGGGGGCTGTTAGGGTGGGGTGGGAGGCTGGGGTTCCGGGGGAGGGGCAGGAGGGCCCCGGCCCCGCGGTTGGGTATCGTATTGCGAGGAGCGATGTTGGGGCTTGGATCTGGGAGGAGGGTGTCTTGAAGGGGAGAGAGTGGAGCGGGAGGTGTGTTACAATAACTTGGTGAGGGGGGTCTAACGGGTGGTTGTGGTTATGGGTGCTTTTGTTAGAGTTAGGGAAGGACCTAGTTTCTGCAGTATGCATACCTCTTATATTTTAGGTTGGGTTAGAACTAGAATGTCATACATACCTAATCCTATTGGCTATCAACCGCGCATCTTCGATGGGGTAACCCCAGCGGAAGCACTGCCTGAAAAAACTAGGCGTAGAGCCTCATTGCATAATCGAATGCAGGGGTTGAAAAATGCAGGGATTGACGAAAATGACGTCAGCGAGCACAAAAATCCAGAGAATCAGCTGCTTACCCGTGGCTGCCAGTCTTTGCACCGCCAGCAAAATAGTAAGACCTTGAAGACCACCACTTAATTCACTCGCACCTCTCAACAATGCGTAAATAATGCATTCAGGTAGGATAGCAAATGTAACATATATAACAAGAAAGAATGATATTTGGCCTATAGTCGCTCTGTTTGACAGTCAACGCATGCTACTAATTAGCTTGAGGAAGATGCAGCGATTTTTGTACCTTACCTGAAGCCTAGATGCCGCGAGGCCCGCTTTGCAGCATGTAACCCATAAGTCCGCCAGTATTATTGTCCTCCATCCCACCCCAAAATTCCATTACAAATAATACCGCCCGTACAATTCGTGTTCCCATACATCGTGATCAAATACACATAAGAAGCGTAGCAGCATCAAGCGACTCCAATCTGACCTCGTTCGACATCGTAAAAGCCCCTGTAGTAAGGCGGACTATCGTATAGAAGTAGATCATCTTCGCCTAAGCTTCGGTGGCTGGCGTTTTGGCGTTCCCCCTCCAGAATGCTGTCCGACTCGACGCTCATCGGGCTCAGATCGCGCCTTGGATCGTACTGGAGAGCCATTCCCGACGACGTCGTCGTCGGCATCATTGGCGGTACGGACCTCGGGATCGAGCCGGTAAAGATGGGGCGGAGATCCGGAGGACTTCCTTGCTGCTGCGGCATCTGCGGAATAGGGGACTGAGAAAAGAGGCGTTTGGGGCGGCGTGGTCGGTGGAGATAACGGGGACTTGGTTGCGTCGGGACGGAAGAGTGGCTTGCGCGCGCCTGAGCTGCTTGTTATTGATCTGTTACCGATAGCCCTTGTGGACGACCACCGGGAAATGCGGGTTGGTTACGGCCGCGAGAGGCTTTTATTCACCTTGTTTGCCTTTTGCTTTGTTGTGGCAGTTGGGTCCACCATCGTGGTCGTGGTAGTCGCACGCGTCCCCGAACGTTGGGTCATCGAAGAGCAGGCCGCCTGTGCCTGCCTTGATCGCGTTGACGAGATCAATCGCGAAATCCGGGTTGTCCTCGAAACACACGCGATAGCTGTCCGCATTCTTGTCGGAGTCGGGGTCCATTATCTGCCGCGCCGCGATCTTGACCATCAAGGCGCGGAACGGCGAGCCTTCCGGACTCTGGCGGTAGATTTCGTTGATCTCGTCGGCGTCGGGCACGAGGCGCGCCTCGTACAGGCCCTTGCGATACTGGTCCATGGCCATGTTTTTGAGTTGCGGCATGTCGAAACGCTCGCAAAGCATGTACAGCCTATAGCAGGCGACCGCGTAGTCGTACTTGGCATTCGGGTCTGAGATGTCGCTGACATTCTCGAATTTGCCTTGGTATAGCCATTTTACGAGCAGTTCGAAGCCCTTGGGGTCATCCTCAGTCAGCTCTAGCTTGTCGCTGATTTTGTTCTTGGTGGATTCGTTCGCTTGGAGCTCGGAGGCGAGGTAGTCGGAGTGGTGGCAGAGGAGGTTCCGATGGATGGCCCAGTGTCGCTTGGCTTCGCCAGAGCCAACGTAGACGTTGATGAGGGGGCCGGAGAGAAGCCTGGCGCGTTGAGACTTAGCATGCGCTTGCACGCGCAGACGGTGGGAGTGGACTCGGTACGGAAGCGGTGGTCGCACTCGACTTCCCGGCCGCGCAGTCTCGCCCTCAAAGGCGGGGAAGAAGGGGCTAGGAAGTGGCTCTGTCTTTACGTACTCGGCGAAGGTTTTGGCGGACGCCTCGCCGATATTGGCAAGAGACATGGTGCGAAGAGGGCGCCGCTGTAAGTGCGGGTATGCGAAATCGCGAAAGTAGATTATATACGGGGGGTGGTTTCGCCAGTGCATAAAACCGAGTTTATGGCTGGACGGAGAAGATAGTCATGTACGAGTAGAGGAGCGAGGCATCGGGGAAATCGCATAGCGGGTCGGGGTGGCTGGAAATCTGGAAATGCGGCAAGACGTAAGTGATGTGCTGGTGATGTCCGCGAGCGGGTACAGCAGACGCTCGGAGCAGGGATCCGAGCAGGCTCTAACGTCGAGCGGAAGATCAAGCGGGGGGCTTTACGGCCTTCTCCGGGCATTGGCCGTTGGCCGTTGCACCATTTGCACCCTGACTCCACTCTACTCTACGCGTCCACGACGCGTTTCTTCGTGGTACCTTTTGCACACGCGTGCGCTAGGCTAGGTCATCACCACCATTACCACCACCACCATTATCCACACCAGATGGGCCCACCGTCGCAATTACTACCACCTGACCTCGCCGCCGCCGACGACCTCCCTTCTTCCTTTGACCCTGCCGTCTTCCTGCACTCCGAGCTCGAGCTCGCCATCCCCACCAGCTCGCACTCCGACGAACTCGAGGCCCTGCAGCTGCAGAAGGAAGAAACCCGACTCGCCAAAAACAAAGATCGCGTCGTCATCCAGCACAGAGCGTGGAAAGTCCCCGACGTCTTCCGCAGCGAGGAAGACCATTTCATTGGTGACGTCTCTCGTCCGACTCGCGCGTGACGCGTCTGACGCTGAGTAGACACACCAATAAAACGCCAACAATTACTGCAACCATTATTGTACACCTCCAGCCCAAAGGCGCTGCCCTCCTCGCCGCCTGCTCTCGCCATGTCCATCATGTCGTCGCCAATCGCACACCACCGAAACCCGTCGCCGGGCGGGGATTCGCCCAGGAAGAGGAGGAAGATAGAAGGTCACCGGGACCCGCTGCATGACATTTCGGCGAACAATGGCAACACAATGTTCGGGGGTTTCCTGGCAGACGAGTCAGACGACGAAGAGGACTACGCGGCGGTCAAGGCTGCGCAAAACAAGCGGAAATTGTTTGCGCAGAACATCGCTCAGCAGCCCAGCATGCAGGAAGCGTCATCATTTGAAATGGATGAAGATCTACCAGACCAGGGTGCGATTGTTGATACGGACGTTGTACCAACTCCCGACCTCCCACATTCTCAGCCGACCATTAGTTCCCAGTCCCGCAAATTACCACTTACCATCAGAACATGTTCTGGAAAGAGTACATATGTAGCCGAGCGAAAGCCTGCGCCTTCATTATCCTACGAACAATTGATTGCGGCTCGATCCACATCCAAAACCGGCCACGCGAGAAAGAGTTACTATGGCATTGACATCCACCAGCTCATGGATGACGCAGCGAAAGAAACGGAAGAACTTGCTCGTGCTACCGAGCAAATGCAGATTAATGCGCCGGCCCCGTCGGTCGAGAGGTCAACAGACCGAAAAGGAAGGACGCTCATGTGGACCGAGAAATATCGTGCTAGAAAATTCACGGACCTGGTTGGCGATGAACGGACGCATCGTTCAGTCCTCCGCTGGCTCAAAGCCTGGGATCCAACTGTTTTCCCTGGCTCAAGCCGCCCAAAGCCCAAGAGTATCAAACCTTATGGCCAGCCGAACCTGGATGAGGAGGGTAGGCACCGCAAGATCCTTCTCCTTACAGGCCCGCCAGGGCTTGGAAAGACGACGCTGGCACATGTTTGTGCTCGCCAAGCCGGATACGAAGTACAAGAGATCAACGCTAGCGACGAGCGGAGCCGCGATGTAGTCAAAGGCCGTATTAGAGATATGGTTGGTACCGAAAACGTCAAGGGCATTGAGACCAAAACTTCTGCCGGAAGTAAGGTTAGGAAAGCAGGCAAGCCTGTCTGCGTCGTCGTGGACGAAGTCGATGGTGTTGTCGGCGGAGGTGGCGGAGGTGGTGAGGGTGGTTTCATCAAAGCCTTGATTGACCTCGTCAATCTCGACCAGAAGAACTCCGCGCCGAAACCATCAGAAAGCTCGGCAACCACCAAGCGGAAGAAGAAAGGAGATAATTTCCGTCTCTTGCGACCACTGATTCTTATTTGTAACGATGTCTACCATCCATCTCTTAGGCCTCTTCGCCAGTCTTCTGTTGCTGAAATCATCCATATTCGCAAGCCGCCACTTAACATGGTCGTCCCGCGACTGCATTCTATTTTTGAGCGGGAGGGCGTACCCGCAGATACCGATGGAGTTAGACGTCTTTGTGAAGCTGCGTGGGGTATTAGCAGTCGCAAAGACGGCGGTGGTGGCGGCACTGGAGAGGGCGATGTTCGTGGTGTCATGGTCGTCGGCGAGTGGGTTGCGAGGAAGCTCATGGCAGAATCATCTGGAGACAGACGACTGACCCGCAAATGGATTGAAGACCATGTCCTGAACGACCTGTCGCATGGAGGTGGAGCTGCAAGAGGCTTAGGTCGAGGAGGCGCCAAGGAAGTTGTCGACCGCGTTTTCAAGGAAGGCGCTGGCTTTCCCAAGTCAGCTGCAGCCGCAGAAGCGTCGAAAGCGGACGTGGAAAGAGCAGGGAAGATTGGCGTCGCCGAAGCCAGCAAGCGGTTTGCGATGGGGCGTCTGAGTGAAATCGTCAACACAAGCGGCGATATAGACCGCATTGTGACAGGTAAATCTTACTTTCCTTCACCCCAAAAGTTGTACTCATACTAATGCTCTTCCAGACTGCTTCACCAATTACCCTGTTCAGCCGTTCCAGGATGATACTCTCCTGAGCAAGCCCACTGCCGCTTACTCCTGGCTCCACTTCCACGACAGCATCTCCTCCGCCGTCCACGGCGGCCAAGAATGGGAACTGGCTCCCTACCTCTCGACGCCCGTCCTCGCCTTCCACGACCTCTTCGCCTCCTCCATCCGACCCTCCCTATCCACCACCTCAACCTCCTACAACAACATCAAATCCAACCCCAGCGACCCAGCCGGACAGGACGCGGAACCAGCGCCCTTCTCCGGCCCCTCAGCCCCCTACCAAATGCACGAGCAATCCAAAGCCAACCTCGCGCACCTCAGCAGCTTCCAAGCGGGTCTCAGCCTACCACTCACGCGCATCTACCGCAACACAGCGGAAATCGCGACGGAGCTGCTGCCATACGTGCTGCGGATGCTGGGGCCGGACGTCAAGCCTGTCGTCATCAACACGGCGTCGTCGTCGGCAGCGCCCGGCGACAAGCGCACAAACAGCGCGACGGCGTCGGTGCGCAAGGCGTCGGAGAAGGCGCTGGTGCTGCGCTCGGTCAACGCCATGGCGGCCACGGGCGTCCGCTTCGACAAGTCCCGCATCGATTTCGGCGCGGATGCGCGCTCCGGCTCGGGCGGCTGGGTCTTTCGCATGGAGCCGCCGCTGGATGTGCTCGGTGCTTTTGAGACGATGGGGCTCCGCAAGGAGGATAGGGTCCGCTTCGCTGTGCGCCAGATCCTGGACGCGGAGTTTAGGAAGGAGAGCCTGAAGGCGGAGGCGGAGGCAAGGAAGAAGCGCGGAGGTGCGGCGGTGGGCGTGGATGACGCTGCTGCTGGTGGGGATGCGATGAGTGTGGATGAAGTGGTGGAGAAGGAGAAGGTGGTTGTCAAGAGAGATTTCTTTGGCAGGGAGATTGTGGAGAAGGTGAAGGTGGTGGAGAAGAGGGAGGGCGCTGCTGCTAAGGGCGAGGCGGATGCTGCTTCGGGCCAGCATGCGGAGGGGAAGGTGTGGGTGAGTTATCATGAGGGTTTCTCAAATGCGGTGAGGAAACCCATTACGCTGGCAGAGTTGTTGGGCGGGTTGTAGGTTTGAGAAGAGAGTTGTAATAAAGGCTTTGTTGTATCTTCCCTGGTGCTGGCGGCGGTGTTGTGGTTGCTGTGAGGTTTGTTGAGATGGTCTAGGTTTGGCGGTTTGTGATGATTGATGTTTTAACCCATATCAGATGGTCGCAACGGGACCAATAACTGACATGGTACCAATCGGTCGCGGACGTGTCAGGCTGGGGTTTATGCAAGATTCTGGCGTTCGCTTGCATCCGCACCTGCACCTCCGCTTTCCAGCTCTGCTAGCACTTAGCCGTCCCTCTTACGCCCCTGTTTGTCGCGGCTCAGCAATTGCTACTTTTACTCTAGAGTGGTACCCGCATCTTGCCTAAAACATCCCTCTTGCGTCCCCATTTATCGCGGCTCACCAACAGCCACCCTCTAGAGTGTCATTCGCGTCTTGCCCGAAATGTGCCTCGTGCATCCCTATTAGTTCCGGCCCGCTGACCAGTTCCATACTTCCCTTTCCTCCCGATTTGCTGACTGCCCCCGGGTATCAGAATTCGGCCAATGTCGTGGGCCGCATCAGCCCATCAATTAGCAAGCTAGCAAGCTCCCCCGCAGCCCATCATCGCTGCGCCACAATCAGCCATGGTAGATACTGCATATCTTGGCCCTTGATACAGCCGTGTATGAGAATGCGATTACAAGCCTATATATTCTTTCTTTTCGCAGCATGCCACTGCTCTCTTACTCTTTCCAACTCACAAAGATTTCTTCTGTTTTCCTCCACTCAAATCCCTTTCCAACATGCCGCCGATCACTCAAGGCGATCTACCCACAAGCGATAGAATAAGCATCGCCTTTGGCGTCCTAGCAACAGTGTTAGCCCTAACCGCGGTGGTGGTGGGCATTGCATCATGGCAGCACCAAGTTCGCTCATCTCGAAGGAGTAAGTATAGCTCCGAAGTCATATATTTTTCTGATTTATATTCAGACCTACACTATCGCAATAGAGGCTTGAACTTGCGTTCCGCATTGGGAGCTCACAGGTCTAGCTCTATTGCCACATACCGGGCCAGGAACAGGGCATTTGACCGATAGAATCGTGTTCAACATTCTATGTGAACTGTGTTAGGAAGTGGCGGGATTACTTGGAGTCTATAACGGCGTACACGTTGGAATAGGAGTCAGGGAACGACATACTTATTGCCTCTACACTACCGCTAAGCTCAGCGCCCCTCTATAACAAAAGTCACCAATATTTCTCCCGCATTTCCACAACTACTGTTTCCAGTAAACGAACAGCGACAGGACGAGTTCGGTGGAGCTTCGCAATCGCGTGTACCCTTGGTCGTACAAGCACCTGGATGGTCTGTTTTCCGTTCTCCGGAGAAGGGCACGAGACTAGTAGATCTTTGCGTGGCTTCTTCGTCGTACGGTATGACGCTCTTTACGCTTGTGCCTGCGCAAGCACCGCTATCTGCATACACTGACGCACCTACAGTTACTACGGCCATTAGTGCTGTAGTACAAGACCTCATCACAACGCGATCGTGATAAAGATTAGAATAAGACTATTTATTTGAAAAGAGGAGGTCGCAGTCGGTAAATATAGACCCAACCATTAACTAGTCTTAAGCAAGCTAACCGAATTGAGCTAGCGCAATGATGTGCTTAATGTTCTCCTTACTACGCTATACTGAGAATCACTTTACTCTCAAGTTCAACTATAGCTTAGAGGTAAGTTATGTGTGAGAAGCATCTTTGTATCTTTGTCGACAATATGCTCACGTGGGGTGGGCAAAATATTTAGAGGTAGACAAATTATTCAGGGTTTAAATTTACATCCAAGTTCCACATACAGATGTATGTGTGTGTGTGTGCGTGTGTGTGTGTATAAGTACATGGCAATTGGCGGAAGCTTACCTTTTCCTAGAACCGCGTTGGCGCAATTCGGCGATCCCGTAATAGACAAGGCTGGGCGCTGTCGCTAATCGGCAACGCCATTTCCGACGCTATGGATACGGAGGTTTCGGGTGTGTGTGTGTGTACGAGGGCGTGGCTGAGCTTCTCACGTGCCCCTGCAAGTTGCCAGATCGTCAAGTTGGCGGCCTCTCATGCTGGGTTTTCCAGGATAGAATATAAGCCAATCTGTTCGGCTGCTTGTTAGCTGACATCGTATATTCCTTGCCCTTGAGGCTCGAGGACAATTGTGCGAGATGAATCAGCAGGCATTTCACTACTAATAGCTAGTTTGGATTCCAGGGCTCGTTGCACTTTAATATATGCACGCAGAGTGCGGAATAGACCAGTCGAAAAGTGGTTCAGACCGTAGGTTCGGGCGGGGTCGCTACAGCCCGGGTCGAATCGAACCTATCTAGAAGGTCTATAGTCGGTCTAAAAGGTAGCCTGAAGGTGGCCTTAAGGTAGCCGAAGTAAGGTAGAGGTATGCCTTGTACCGATTATAAGTAGCGCTTTACTAAATTTAGGTCGCTACCATTATTCGTATACGTACGAAGATGCCACTTGGCAAATTTATACGCGCGTAGAGGCTACTTAGTAGAAAATAATTATAGTAGAGCCTTCTTTAGACCGACTGCAGTCCATTCAGCCCCCTTGTAGCCCGGGTCGAATCGAACCTATTTAGGAGCAGTCTATTCAGTCTAGTCGAAAATTGGAGTCGAACTGGACTATTCCGCACTCTGTATGCACGCTCCCTGTCGGCCTGTGTTTGATCTCGTGTTGACTCTACCCAATCAAAGCGCTCGCCGCGTGCAGGATTAGGGGATCAAGTTACGTTGCACGCACTCTTTCGTAGATGTGCATATGTGCATGAGTGAGGGAAAGCTGCACTTACGGTCCGGATTTAATTTCCAGTCAGATCCGGCGGGGCTGTTCGGCAGTAGTTAACAGGGGTAGCAAGTACGGCGCGGGTAGAATAAAATGTACATAAAAAGACTTTGAAATCCAGTCATGATTCGGAGGTTATGTAGCTAGCAGTCAATTGGTCAGTTATGCTGGCTTGAAACGTCATCCGAAAAAAATAAATCATTGGGCGACAAGGAGGGCGAAAAAGCCGCATACACGGGAGTAACGGGACTGAGATCTTGACAGGGGTTGTCAAGCCCTAGTCAGCCCTTTGAGGAAGAGGGGCTAGGCTGTGTGAGCCTGTTGCCATTTTCGAGGGAGACGTCTTTATATAATAACTGAGCAATATCCCTCGATCACTTCATCAATACAAAACCAATTCTTCACTTACCAAATGCCAGCAATCGACCAAAGAGACCTCTCCGAAAACAACGAGATAAACGTTGCATTTGGCGTCTTAGCTGCTCTCCTATCTGTTGCTCCTACTTTTGTTGGTATTGTAACATGGAAGCAACAATTTCCCTCGACTAGAAGGGGTAGGTATTTGTTTGATGTTGAAAACATACTTCCTCTGACAAAGATAGATCCAGACCAATGTGGCAGTGGAATCTACGTAGCGTTTCGCATGGGGCATACGCGGGACTAATTACGGTACCAAGCACACAAATTATCTGACAGACGGTGATGGCACTTGGAAACACTTCGAGGCAGTGGCATGGATGGCATGGAACAGCATTGATAAGGCGAAGAAACGGGGTCGTGTAGACGGAGACTTGGTGTTAATACTATTCTGAATATAAAAGAGTCCATACTTTTGTTTCATTTTATATGTATCACTATCACCACTAATATTTTGAGAAATTCCGCAAAAACTCTCTCGTATAGTTGAGCTTGGGATGAGATGGTATTGAAGTTCACCGTGTACCAGGCTTGCGGATTCACTGCGTGGTAGGACAGCCAATCGGAGGCTTTCAAACACGCATAGGTCTAATGCGGCTTATCGCTATGTGGTGTGATGAGATGCTTGCGGGCCCCATGCTCTCTTTGCCGATCCTTGAGCTTGATGCAGGTACCAGGGGTATACAGGTCCCTTGCTGCTTTCTGTTGCTTGCTTCCGCGTGGTTGCTACCAGAAATGGTCTCACCGGCGTGCGCATCTAATTTACACGCACATAGTTCGCTTCACTGAGGGGCCGTCAGAGTCACATCGCTCCACAAATTAGATACAAATCTGTTGTTTTCATACGGCTGCATGAGCAGTGCATTCTCGGGGATCAGTTACGTGGGTATTTGCATCTAGGGCTGTGCAGTGGCTGGCTGACACGCGCCAATAGTAGAGCGTAGCTAATAAACACTTGGAATCCTTCAGCCTACATAGCATATCCGTCAGCTTCAATGCCGACAAATCATGAGATGTGTATGTCTCGGTGAGCCTCTCTCAGCTCACATCAATCTACAAATACCTAACGCCTACCTTCGATTTCTTTTGAACGATAAAGTTTCATTCCGAGGACTTCTGTCTGTCTTCTTACCAATATGCCAGCAATCACACAGAGAGATTTCTCTAGAGAAAGCCAAATTAATATTATCTTCGGTGTCTTACAAAGTCTTCTATCTCTCGTTTTAATTATCGTGGATGTTGTCAAATGGCTATCAAAAAATCGCCCACTTCCAAGTGTAGACAGGACATATTTCTGTTTCATCCATGCTCACATAAATAATATAAAGACGAACCCTCGGAGAGCATATGTAACTACAGGGGACAGACAAGACTAGTACCAACAGCAATTACACGAGAACCCGGGTCCGAGCTCTAGACCCGCGAGGGAATATCAACACCTCAGCAAGCGGAGTAGCAAGCAGGCAGAGTTTCGACAATACTTCGAAGTGCATCTAAGTGGGAACTCGGGATCTTCATAAATTTTCAACAATGCGATTGCCAAAAACTGGAACGGGCAAGACCAATTAATGACTCTAACCGCCCTTTAACCTTTATGAGGAGTATGCGGCAGCCCTTCATGTTAACACATTTCTAAGCATCACAGGACGCAGAAATTGCTTCAATTCTCGTTGAATAGCAAACCATGGTATTCTCATCGCTACCCGATGTATTAATCTTTCCGTATGCGCCTTGCACAAGCTACATAATCTAAATACACTGATGAATTTTAGGTCGATTCGGCACTTACTACTACTCCACAGGCCAGAGTAATTTCTATGTAAATGCGTAGATTCTGAAGGAGGTATTGACTTTAAGAAAAAAGATATCGCAGGCAGCGATGTCTACTCAACAATCACCCCAGACCTCTACCTAATTAACCGAATAGGCTAGTGCGGCCCCGAGTTTAATGCATGGCGCAAGCTTACTTAGGGGCTAGGCTGGCATTAACATATATTGCATGCTAATTATCAATACTAGATACATTGCAGCTTTGGACAATATCTCTATTAAATGCTCTCGGTCAACTTAACACCTACAACACTAAATAATCCACAGTTCACGGACATGAATACTTTCTATTTCTTTTTTGCTAACCCACAGACAGATCTCCACGTAGCAGGTAAGCACTGGACTCTACGCAACTTTTTCTCATACTCAACTCTCCTGCTCCATGACGACAACGTGGAGATGATTGGCTAAACACTGTTGTCCTAATAATGTAGCAGCAGCAGCTGACGCTGATGGTAGGCAGTACAGGGCGATGCAACGCAGTGTAGTATTCTTCGGTACGATCGAGTGCTCCGAGGCTGAGCAAGTCCGGTGTAGCCGATTACTTGCTCGAACCCCCTAGTGAAGAGCCTCAACTACCACCCCAGTGGCTGAAGACTGCTTCAGCTACATGGACAGCGCAGCAGGGTCCCAAGCATCCCACGTCGCACCCGCGACCCCACGACAGCAAAAAAAAACTTCGTTGGCTCGCAGGCGACAGGGCAAACAGGTGGCGTGTCAAGGGGAATCGAAGCCTGTCAGCCCTGCATAGCCGAACTAATCGCACGTGGAAACCACAACTACGTGGAGTGTTCCTGTCCCAACGGCAATTCAGCGGTCAGAAACGCCTGCAAACCAATGCGCTATTACTGCTGATCCATACCGGTATAAATATTTTTTTTAAAGCTGGGAGAGTACCATGCTTGCCCCGCAGTCACGCCTCTCCCGCCATCCTTTGCCCCTCCTTTCCTTTCTGTCAGTATGCCCGCGCTCGCCCAGAGAGATCTGTCCATAAATGATGAGATAAACATCACCTTTGGCGTCTTGGCTACTATCCTGGCACTCTCCTCCGTTGTTATCGGTATCGCTACATGGCAGCACCAGGTCCGCTCAGCTCGGCCGTGTGAGTAACCAGAGTTCTGGAACTATGTTTTCTCTAACGCATATATGCAGATCAGTACCACAGCGACGGGTCTTTTGAATTTGCGATCCGCGTAGGGCGTTCAAGGATTTCATAGGCAAATCAGTCTATACCTTCAGGGCCTCAATATTCGCAACACACTGATTCAACACTTTACGATACCCACCAAAATACATTGCGCTTTGGCTTTGAAAAGTGTACACAATTAGTGATATCACAAAACCGTGGCTTGAGGCCAATTTATAGAAGACCTCCGAGTGCATATATGCAAATGCAATGTCTGAAAAAAAGAAGAGGTCGATAAACCTTAAACACAACTTTACACTCCCGAACCAATCATCAAACAAAAGACACAAAACGATATTTATATCTCCCACCAATCGCCAACCACCTCCCACAAACCCTAGCACAGTCAAGCCCATCACCAGGCTTCACCCCACAAACCTCTTCCTAAGCTCAGCCAGCCAGCAGCCAAACGCTCAAAATCAAAAAACCATTCCTACAGTACTTAACCGCCTTTTGTTTTATCCACAGTCCCAAGCCCAAGCCCCAAGAAGAAACCCCACCCTACGTACGAAAAAGAAATCTCTCCCTAGCAGGACACCTAGTGCGCAAACCTGAAGTCTAGGCGCTTGCTCCCACGATCCGTCGTCGTCTTGATATAATGCGCGCGTTGCTGCACGAAAATTAGCCTCAAGCACACCCAACACTTCTTGACAGTAAACTCACCTCAGCCGACATAGCCTGCCACTTTTTGTCCCTCGACTTATTCCGCCAAACATAATAGCCCTTTGCAAACAAAAACGTCGCAATCGCAATGACGTTAATAACAAGCAACGACCTATTGCCCTTATGGTAGAGGGGCTTGTCGTTCTCGCGGTACACGTTCGCGGAGATGATGTTGCCCAGCTGCACCGTCATGTTGTACATGGCGGCGGAGACGGTGCGGGTGCCGACGTTGTTGGAGTTTTTGGACGTCCAGGCCACGACGATGGCGTGGCAGTAGGGCGCGCTGAGCAGGACGGTGACGAGCGCGTACGTGCCCATCCCGTTGACCATGGTGCCTGGCCAGTAGCGTAGCGCGATGACGCACGGCAGCGTCCACACACTCGTCCACACGGCGACGAGCGCGCGCGAGTTTAGCCACTCGCTGATGCGTGTTACGGTTAGGAGCAGAATGATGTGGAACACGTTGTATGGGATCGCGAGCAGGTTCGTGTTGAACTGTGCGCGGCTGGGTTAACAACTGCGCGCCTGTGCTGGGGATGTAAATGGCGATGCAGGGCGGTACTTACGGTGCTGAAGCCGACGCTCTTGAGCGTCAGCGTGATATACTGTTCGACGGCGCCCTGCGGCGTATACGCCAGCAAACCAATAGCGTAAATAGGCCAGAGGTCGTAGTCCTTGGCGGCATTCCAGAGGCGCTTGGGCGTGATGGCCTGCCGGTTATGCATGTCGCCCTTGGACGGGTCGTCGCGCAGCACGCGGTTGACGGCGATCTTGAGCTCGCGGTCATTGAACCAGCCCTTGGGCCGGAACCACGTCTTGGTCTGTACGGCCGAGGCGGGCATCATGAAGAAGGATGAAAGGCCGACTACCAGCGTGATCAGTCCTTCAATGAGGAACAGCCAGCGCCAGCCCGCCCAGTCTGATACTCCGCGCATGTGCAGCAGTGCAAACGCGAGCAGCGATGTTACGATCATCGTCGTTGAGAGCGCCGTCCAAAAGAAACTTAGTCGCGTTGGCAACTCCCGGCTCGTGTAGAAGTACGATAGCCAGAGAACAATGTCCGGGATGAATCCGCCTTCGAGGAGGCCGAGCATGGATCGCGTGGCGTAGAAGCTGCGCTTGCCCGTCAGCGCGCATTGGCAGATGGCGACGATTGACCAGAGGGTTATCTGGAGCGGGATCCAGCGGTCAGGGCCCAATTTTTTGGAGACTAGCTGTGAAGGAAGCTCGGCAAGGAGGAAAGAGATGAGGAAAATGGTGTTGCCGAAGTTGTAATCTGGTTTGGTATTAGAGATGACTAGACTTTAGTATCGATGAAACATACCATTTGTCGACAGATTAAGGTCATCCAGCATATTGTCTGAAACAGCTTGTTTAAGGTTCCCACGGTCTACTTGGAGACCGAAAAACATAACACACTTGATCTCGTCAGTGTATCAGAACAACAAACAGGATCCGAAAGAACTTACTGCCCACGCGCACACACGCCAGTCCAGCTTCCGTATGAGTGCCTTTTCCTCCTCTGGTGTCCACTCAAATTTAGGATCGAACTCATGGCGACACTCGTAGTCGGCCTTCTCATAGACGGACATGTAGTACTCCGCGACAGTCGGATCAGAAAAGACATGGTTGTCGCTGTAACCACTGTGGCATCCGGAGCTGCTACCCGACTCGCGGGTATGGACATGGAAGCCATCCTTTGGGATTGGTTCGGCAGCGAAAGATGTCGTCTGTTGCGCCTCCATGGACGGCGTGATGGTATCGTGAGCCTTCTCGTCCTTGGGCAGTTCCAGGACCACGCTTTCGGCGGAAGAAGAGTTCCGAGCCATTGGGTCGCCGGGATGCCAGTTCTGAGGGTCGTCGGTTATGTCTTCAACATATCCAGGTCAATCGTTCTTTTAAACTGTTGCCAATGCAAAGCAAAGCGGAGGCACTGGATGATGTGATTCGGACCTACAAAGATGCCAACCTCGCCTAGGATCATTACAGTGGGATAACCGAACGCCACATCTCCTGCCAATGATAAGAGGCCTTATATCCACCGAAAATAGTACCCCGCTTTGAGTGGCTGCGTGTGCCTCACTGACGGTCTGGAGCATTTGACGCGAGTAATCGGGGCTTGTTGGAAACGGGCCCCACTGGGCATGATAAGACATGGGAAATCACGGAATTGTTCGGCAGACCAAGGAAAATGCAACGATTGCAAAAGAAGAATGGAGACGTTACCATGTCGTATTCGCAAAGGCTTGCGTCTCACTGCCTATTAGTGCGGACTAGGAAACACGCGCCGTAAAGGATTGATCCTCTGCAGGTCATGATCGGCTATGCACGCCCGGAGGCATCTGCTCAAGCGAGCACGAGCGGAAGTCTTTCCATGCCTCAGCGCAGTCGACGGGCTTGTCAACTGCTAGTAATTTATGGCAGGTCCAAAAGCATTGAGATGCATCCGGGCGCATGGTTTGAGTGGCTTCTTGCTTGCTTCGAGAACTCAGTGGTGTTGGGGCGGAGAGAGCGCATCAGAGAATGCTTGCATGTCGCGATTGTGGGTGGTTGATGTCGTGATAGGGTTTGGCCTGTCCGTTTGACTAGCTCCGTCCCGGCATCCGAGCCACACCCAACGCCCTGTCTCCAGTGACGTCGCTCCGTCCTTTAATTCAACACAATTTTCCTCCACCCTCCTCCTCCTCCCACATCCGATTCATCTTCGTTCACGACACCGTCGAGTATATAAATATCATCATCATCAAGAACACGAACCCTTGTTCTCACCCACGACGTTTTTCATTCCCAACTCCTTTTGCTCCCCTCACCCCGCTAATGAATCAGCTGCTTCAGACTTGGAGCGCAGAAAAATCCCAATCCACACAACCTTCTTCTTGCTCCACGCAAACGAATGCTAATCTCGTAACACACTTCTCTTTTTTCTTTTTCCTCCAGTGCTGGATGGAACCCATCAGATTTGCCAAACGCGCGCGCCTTCTTGACAGATACCTAGCACCGCTCCCTAGATTGTCACCATACTTTCCGTGTCGCTGGGTCTCCTCATACCAAAACCATAATACAGTGGCTGCACAAGCCTTGCGCTCCAGTCCGCAACACCGTCGACTTGCTTCATGTCCTCCATCCACTCAATCATCAAGCTGATCGACTCCTCAATTTGTGCCATTGAAAGCCGCGTCTCGCATATTTGTCGCAGAAGAGGGTGGTCGCGTACGACACGAAAAACAAGCAGGAAGGCTGAGAAACTCTGTGTCCAGACGTAAATGTTGGGAATCAAGCGCTTCTTGTCCTTGGGCGGCGACATGCTGACGGGCCAAAGGATGCAGCTTTGAAGACACAGGGTGGCAAAATTGATGTCGTCCTCGGTCACGAGGTCCGGGTAGTGCACCGTTTTATATAGGTAGGGACGGTAGATCATGAAGCGAGCATAGTAGTAGCGCGCGCGCAGTTGCGCAACGATTACGTCCACGTTCAAAGGTTGATTGACGGGATTGACAGTGTTGGGAGTGAAAACAGCTTCGTATGATTCGTCGGTTTTGGGGTCATAGTATTTGTAGTCGTTGCGAGAGGCATCACTCCACTGTAAAGGCTCAGGCAGAAGCGATCGCCATGCATCGAGCTGGCTGGCAAGCTCTTTGATGATGGCTATCGGAGGGGTATCATGGCCTGCCTCGGGACCTCCTGGCGTTGCTGGGGAAACTGTTAGTCTGATTATTTTCAAAACAATGACCGCAGATCTGAAGCAGCTTACCTTCGTACATCGTCTCATATATTCTTTTGATGAGTTTACGTATTGCAACCATTCCCAGAAAGTTGTACTGGTGCTTCGCTTCTTCGATTTTGAGCGAGTTCGTAAGGTCTTCTCGCGGGCGAAACAATGGCAAAGAAACCCTGTCTTGAAAGTCTGCAATGCCCGTTTGCGGCAGGTTCAGATCCAGATTGTACCAACTGTGCGGAGCATTAGTAAAGGGTATGTGCCACCATATTAATGACCCGCAGATAACGTACGCTTCGATGATATTGCACGACCAATACACCCGCCTGATAACGTCGCCTTCCTTTGAATCCCAGTCGATGGGCAATCTAAATAAAACGTTAGTCATTTCCACTGCCAAACTAAAATGGCGCGAAAGACTGCAAAACGCACCGCAGAATTGCTTTGATAGCCTCCGACGCAGTTACAGCGCTACGCCAAAAGTCCTGCAAACTGCCGTTAGAAATTTTCCGTTAAAAAAGAATCCAGTGTACACTTACTATATGCCTGGAGCAAGTCTCATAGTAGATTCTGTATTACCGAAACTTAAATCAGCCATGTTCGTGTTCCGTTCAATTGTTCGACGCACGCTGTCAGTAGATGCACTTGAGCGTTCTCTAATGAGCATTGAGACAGGACAAATCCGGTCCTTCGCCTTGCTTCATTAAAAATCTCAAGTGCTGGAGGTCTCTCAGGACGGCCTCCCCGTATCCCGCTAACGACTCCATCCTTGGTAGAGATGGGACGACCGCTTGTTCCCTCAACTGCCACCTTACCCAGCGTACAGACCAATAGCACGATGAGCGAGGCCAGGCAGCCGTCTCCAAACCCTTCTTTCAACACCTGTGGTAGGGTTTGTTCCATGAAAGTATCACAGTCCAGCACGGGGTATATCATGTTGTACGTGCCAAAGTATTCCTCGGAGTACTGGCGCATCAATTCTTGACTGAGGTCTGGAAACAGGACCCTTCCGGGAGCACCGGGATCACCGAAACTGAACAGAGGCACGGCGCGCAGGCCAACATCGCAAGGTAAGATGGTGGGATGCTTTTGCATTTCTTGTCGCATGAACCAATTCGAGCCTTCTTCCAGGATAGGCTTGAGATCGTCGCCGCCGCACGAAAGGAATAGCGCCTGGACTGCGGGCCACATGATGACCGAGTGGGCGCCTTTCAGACGTTTGTAGTTTTCGGCATTCTCCTCGGCGACAGTCGAGGTCGACTTGGTGAGCTTGGGAGGGGCCTGCTGGTGCCTTGGCTGCAGGCCCTGCTCAGCACCGAGCTCGTTGGGCGTGAAGACGGGGGTTGGGGGCGCGCCAAAGCCGGAGAAGTTTGAAGGGCGACGGGTGCGCAAGATGCTGTCCAGCTTGTCCTCGACGCGTTGGATGGTTTGCAGGATGAAGGTTGACGTCTGGTCCTTTCTAGGGAACGTGAGTAAAGACGGGCATGCAGCAGCAGGCGTGCGAGACTTACTTGGTCGGCCGCGGTTCTCTGTAGATGCAAGACACATCCAAGCGCCGACAGAGACCGCATTTGGGACGTTGTTCGTCGCAGCGCGACTTGCGGGCGCGGCATGTCTCGCAGGCTTGGGCGGCGATGGCGGCGCGGCCTGAGCGCTCGGAGGCAGGTCCGCCTCCGCCCGTGTCGGGCAAAGAAACAGAGTCAAGCTCCGCCATGGTGATGAAGTGATGCTGGAGAGACTGTGGGAATGGACGGCGAGGGCTAAATGCGAGCAGGGACACACGATGAACATGTCGTCATGGTCCTGTATGGGCCGGAGACAGCTCCGAGCAAGTCGACGTCTCTTCGGTTTTTGCAGCCGGGCCAATCGCTGCCGCCGCGCGAGACCGCCCTCTCCTCTGGCCGTGCCATGCATCGGCGATGTTGACCGAGGGGACACGATCGCTTTTAAATTTAAAGCCCGCCCACAGCCACGTGCGGCGCCACTCCCGTCCCACCTACTCTACTCATACAAGTCACTACGAGAACGGGCCTTTTTCTCATTGGTCCAGTGTATTTGACACAACATCCCCTTGGCCTAACCACCTCTGGCGGCCCGGCTTCAACGCATGCGCCCGTGTGAAACGAGTCGGAATGAGAGTACGAGTAGGTAGGTTGTCCGAGGATGATGATGATGCTGATGATGCTGATGATGCTGATGATGCTGATGATG